CTTGGCTTGTCGTCGGTGGTCCGGGTCACGACAGGATGTACCGTCGTCGCCGGGGCCAAGAGGTAGTGCAGCGGCACCTTCACCGCCGCAATGGCCGCCTTTGCCAAGTACGTGAAGTACGTGGTCACGGACCGAAATGTCCACCACGGCGCCGCTGCCGGGAGCTCCACCGACGCTGGGCCATCAAAGCCGTCCAGAACCACCGTGTCGGGTACGACTTGAGTTGCCACGAACACATTGTGCACCGGCTCAGCCGCCTGGGGCAGTTCGTTCGCCTTGCGGCGGGGCGCCGACGCTGTACGCAACGGGCGTCGTAGCTGCACTCTGGCCGCAGTCGTGCGAGGTGTGCCTTGAATCTTGACAAGTTCCGCAGTCAGGCGCGCCGACGCGTGCTCGGCCATGAACAACGGACGATGGCGCGCCGACGGGACCTCCACGAGTACTTGGATGTGCTCGCTCCTGCACATACATTCACTAGTCGTCCAAGTGGCATGGACGTTGTGCTACAGCCCCACGAAGATTTGATGTTCTCAACCTGATTTCACGTGTAGGGTGACTAAACGCTGTGGCTTGCGCTCAAAACCATTGAGGTCGTGCAGAAACACTCGCATGGAGGCGCATATGGGCCCGCGGTTGCCTCCCAACTGAGTCGGTTCGTCCAATGGACGACTTTTCCTTTATACGCAATTCCATCGTCGTTTTCATGTGACGAAATGTTGCAATAGTGACCCGGTCGTCGATTTGTGTCGAGTGTGGCTTGAAGGCGTTTGCAAAGGTCGAGTTGGGGACGACCTAGTTGCCCCATGGTGCTTTGTGGACGACATGTGAGATCACGTTCGATCGAAGGAAGTCATGGAGCTCAACATGAAAGAGGATGTATGGTGATTGATCTTCGGGAATACTAGTACATGTTTCACATGCAAATAGAGGGGCGATACGGATCTTTCCGACTGTTGGGGTCCCGTCGGTGGAGATAGAACCTGGCATTGGAGATACATTCACCAACGACAACCCCATCCCATGACGCTTCTCCGCTATCGAGCGAACTAAGTAATGAGCCGTACTAGAAAAAGGCACTCCCGCTATCGACTCACGCACGGCGTTATGGTGCTCCTGCCCCTACCGTACTACGCTCTGCACAACCCCAACGAATTCCTCGTCGTTCGAAGCCCACTCAGAGCCAACCTTCCACCATGCCACAAAAAACGACCAGTCCCCCAGTGAAAATGTGTATCTCACCTAGTCGAGCTCAGGCTATTCACCTCAACTCTTTGTCAAGTAAGCAAAGTCAAATTTCATGAATAGTTACGTATTGCGGGGTTAGCAAAATTAGCTTTCCTCGATTTCCTGCAGCCTCCAAGGTTTATAATTTGAAATAGAGTTATGTATTGCAACCTCCGGGGCCATCACCACGTCACTTCTCAACTGCCCTTCTGCTTCCTTTGTGAATAGGTAGGTAGTCAAGTGCCGGCAGCCCCCCTCTCCACCAGCGTCGGCACTTGTGAAACATCCATGGAACTATTGTGGATTTCCAGACCCCGTCGAATCGAACCTCGCCGCCGAATCGAATCACGAATCGACGCTATTGGCTAATCCATTTTTGCGTGGATTTGATTGGCTTTTACAGAAAGGACAAGTATATTCAACCAATCAGAACTCCAGCGTTCATTCAATATTGATGAGATAAACCACGCGAATTTTGGAAGGTTTTAGCGAATTCACAATGACATACGTAATACATATTTGCTGTCCATTCGCCTGTGTTGTGTGTGCTCAGAGTTTTGATAGCACGTCGGTCAGACTGGTATTCATAACACTTTATTAATCACTGTAAACTTACTGTTGTTCCGATGTCGTAAAGTGCCAATTTAATGGCGTATGTGCCAATTAATGACGTATAAAACTAATCCAATCACTGATACCTAAATTGGAAAAGTGCCAATCACAGAACAAACCTCTGAATATGTATAATCGAAGCCATTAAAACTAATACAGTACTGACATGTTACTTCGAATTATTTATATGGATTTCAAATATCCGTGATAGTATCATGTGTCATCCCAACGTCATCCACCATTACTGTAATATTAGGTCATATCCTAATTAGTATACGGCCGCGCTTGCGCAGACGGCCTCCCGGGCGCCCGGGGCCAACGTAAGGCTTGGTCACTACTTTAGGTTTCATCCCACAATTTCATCCAATTTCATCCAAATTTCATCCACATGTCATCCATGCTTTTAATTCAACAATTATATTATATTAACCATAGTATCCAAGGTTGGTATTAATATTCAATGCTGTCCCGTAAGTCTTAAGTATTGTTTATACAACGCCACTAACGTTACTGACCATGAGCAGTATCAAGTGCATGTCGTTGACCTTTTGTTTCAAGTCGTGGCTGGACTGGTCGTGCACCATTTGGTTGTACTGACCTCGATGGATGGCAATCTCTTGTTCCAGTTGGTCCAGTTTCTTGCGTCGAGCATCCACCTTCGACTCCACGACGTTGTCGATCGGGTCTGCTGCACTTTGCTGGTACATCGATTCTTGCTCGTGCAATGTCGCCACTTGGACCTTCAAGTCCATGAGAACGGTGTACCGCTGGGCCAAGAACGCATCATCGTCGGCTATCTTCCTCGTTGGGTCCGTGAGCCACCGCAGTTGGCGGCGGCCGCGTTGCAAGTCGTCCAGGACGTCACCGAGGGATTTGGACGTCGCCACTTCGTCTTGGGCGAGTGCTGACATGGCCAACATCAGCCTACGACCAACCAATTCAGACCTATTGCGCGTACTCGATCGTCGTGTTTACCCTTGTCGTTCTTGTACAGCGTCGTTGAACACGCACGTTAACGTCTCCACATACCCGCCACCTGCCGCCGTCGGGCCTTTCGGTGTCGAGGGTTTTGTAGGAATGACCCCTTGAGGACTGCATGAGGATGATGTGGCTCTGGCAATGGACCGCTTTAAACATCCTGCCGTGGATTTCAGTTTGCCGTGGCTGATGTCCAACCGCGACAACATGGCCGTCAGTCGCAGGACCTGGGCTTCGGCCTGCGCCACTGACGCCTGCAAAGCAGCTACGTCCTCGACCAGCTGCACTTGCGTGTCGTACGTGGATGGTAGTGGTAGCTTGGCATTCGACGATGGTTTAGGTCGCCTTTTTGCGCTGTAGATGGTGCTGGCTTTGGCGTGAAGCGCCTGTTGTTTTTGGTTGCCAGACGCTGATTTCGGCCGCACGAGACGATGGACGCGTCGAGTTGCCACGGGTTTGACCTTTTGGTCGGTGGATTGAAGATTCCTTGGCTTGCCATCGACCGTCTTGGATGGTTTGGCAAGTTTGGGCGTGTCAGGTACAGGGGTTGATTTGACAGGGGGGACGGCTGTGGGAAATGTCGTCACCAGTACAACTTGATGTTGCAGACGAAGGAACAGCCCTGCCACGACCTTGCCTTGTCGTGACACCAACGCAAACTCTTCGTCCTGGACGACGACGCTCCGACTAAAGTGACTGATGGGGATCAACACGTGGCCGAGGAAGATATTGTCCGACTCTGCAAGGTACACGGCGTACAATAGTGCCGTGTTGAGGTCAACAGGCTCGTCGTCTACGATAGAAAAGAATGCATTCACAATGAGGAATACACATTTCAATTGAATCGTTGCGATTACCTGTGAATGTATGCGTCCATATCGAGTCGTCCCAAGCACCCCCGCCGCCACACACGTGCAGTTGCGTGGTGTGAATCGCCCGTTTGCAACGAAGGTGCACACTGCCCGGGCCAGGGCTGACGACGTGGACCTTCACAAACACGTGGCACGCTGTCATGTCGCGCTCGCTGCGAAAGTGACTGACGCGCCCACTCAGCCTTGACGTGCGCCCGTCCCAATCAGCCACGGGGGGGAATTCGCATGCTGTAGCTGGTTTGCTTGCGACTGGAGTCGTGTTCTCGTTGCCCGAGTAGTCGCTTGGTTGAGTCTTTGTTTGGACGGAACAAATGCCATGCGCGGTTGTCGTTTCGGATGTGTGTACTACGATTGGGGTGGGGGCTTCCAACAATGCGCTAGAAATGAGGCTACCATTGGCCAATGCTCTTGGATTCGTGCCACTGTCCAAGGAACAAGGGGTGTCGTTAAGGCCACCATTTCCCCCATGAACTTGCTCGTGTCCGTTGTTCGTCGTTGTATACGTCGTTGCTCGACCACTTGAGTAACTTGTCGTTTGCAAGTTCATTCGAGGTGCAAGCCATTCTGGTATGAGCCTGTTTTCACTCTCGTACGTCACTGCTTCGACCTCGTCGTCTTGGACGTCGCTACTTGATTGGCGACAACTTGGCGCTAGCTGGCCACCTATAGTTGACTGCAGGTGATACACTTGTGTCGTTGACTCGATGGCGTTGTCATTGTCAGCGGATTCTCGACTGACGCGAGTGTCAACTATGACATCGTCTAGGTCGGGGGGTGGGGTCATGGCGCATTTCTCATCTGCGATGGTATTTTCTGTGGGGATCACATGTACACCCTCTGCATACCCCTCCATGTTGGCTCGAGATGGCTGCACCACATGAACGCGATCCGGATCGGACAGATCTTCCCATTGCTCGTTTCCGTCGTCGTACATGACGCGGTAGCCGACTTGTGGGTCATACTCGTCGATGCGACCTTGACACCATACCTTAGTGACATCGCTAAATACCTCGACGACGCACCCCACCGCATCGTGGCAGTTCATCGGGTCATTGAGTTGAAATAATTTGTTAGCTCTAAAGTTAGACGCCCCGTTACGTGTTCCTACATGCGTTGGTGGCACTTTGGCAAATCATATTCATTGGGCATACCGGTATGATTCATATGCCCAATGGAACAATGATATATCCCTCACGCGTAGTACGGCACCTCCACAACTTGGATATACTACGGTAGCTAGAATATTTGAAGGGACATAGCCAATGCTAGCTAGAGCCCTACTGCTCGCTAGCCGACGATGAACTTGCAAGACTACCAGTAAGTTCCAAGGTTGACCTTATCCAAACTACTCCTTATGCTCTCATCCAAATCCTCCCTCAAGATTCGATCAAACGTTGTTGAACTGCTGTAGTAACAGTTATTAATACGAAGTAGCACTGTAAGTTAGTTAAACAGTAAGGTTAGCTTCATTTACGGAAGTACTGTACGTCGACTAGTAATGCAGTAATAGTAGTACTCGCCTACTATTAGTAGTATTATTAATACGCAGTACATACAGTAGTACTAGTACTACTACGTCGACATACTAGTATTATTAATAGTAAACTCCTTACAGTTAGTATTGGTACATGACTTACTATCGGTTTCAACGTGACGGATCTTGAAGCAAACACTGTAGCTTGTACGTCTTCGTACGTGTTGCTCGCTGTGCGCGGTCTTGAAGCATCAAGCAGCGATTGCTTTGTTCATGAATTGAGACTGTTTGTAGTAGGTAGTACTGTCTATTTGTAACCCATCTCAAGCGACAAGAAAATAAAATATTCCACGACGAATCTATATTATTATAGCTGTTTGTCTCCAGTTCAGTATACTGGATGTATAATAATTCAACGACCGCCGAGATCATTTGTTGAAGGGAGGAATATACTTCTCAAAGTAAGGTCGCCCCTCACAGAAGGAACTGACGAAAGCACCTGCCGCACCACCATGGCCCAAATCAAGACCTGCCACTTCAAGCTCGTCCTAATCGGGGACACCGCTGTCGGGAAGTCATGTCTTGTCGTCCGATTCGTTCGCGACGAGTTCTTTGAGTTCCAAGAACCGACAATTGGAGCGGCGTTCTTGACCCAAACCGTCAGCATGGACGATGGGGTGACCGTCAAGTTTGAAATCTGGGATACTGCAGGCCAAGGTATGTCCACCCCTTGCGTCTTTAAGGTGACTCATCGACGTCGTGTTGTGTACCAGAACGATACCGCAGCTTGGCACCGATGTATTACCGTGGCGCCGCAGCCGCGATCGTCGTTTACGATGTCACGAACAAGGTAGTCACTTCATCTCGAATACCACGGCAGTGCTAATGATGTCCTGGATAGGACTCCTTCACTGGGGCGATGTCGTGGGTTAAGGAATTGCAGCGCCGAGGTGACCCCAACGTGATTATTGCCCTTGCGGGGAACAAGGCGGATCTAGAATCTCGCCGAACAGTCGAATTCGAGGTCTTTTTTCGTGATGTATATGTGTTATCATTTAGTGTACTCACCCCCGCACTAGGAAGCGCGTCAATACGCGAATGACAACGGCATCTTGCACATGGAGACATCGGCGAAGACTGCCGCCAACGTCAAAGACTTGTTTGTCGCCATCGCCGAAAAACTCCCAAAGAACCCGACACAGCCCGAACGCGAAGCGTTTCCCATTACCGCTCCTCCTAGCCAAAAGCCAGCGCGGGGTGGATGCTGCTAAGCGCATGCTGCTCAATGGCCCACAAGTCCAACGAAGTGTGCACGGGTCAATTGCATTGCCTTTTATATGTAGAAGAAGGTTCTTGCTTAACCCCTCGGTTGAATGAGAAGGATATTTTATTTCAAATGAGATTCAAATGAATCCATCGCGTTCTCAAACTTAATCGCGGCGTTTGTTGGATTGAGCAAAATGGAGCTTGGCGTCGTCGTCGATGCCCACGGTGCGGTTGATGCCAAACAAGCGGACGCCATGCAGCTCGGGAAGCTTCGCCAAGATTAGCACTATCCACACCGGCACATTGATCAGCAACTGGGTGGTGTCGTAGTTGGAGTTGACACTCGCCCACAACAACAAGAGTGTCGGGACCACGATCAGGAACTTCTTTATCCATGTCCACGGTCGCCCGTCGTCGATTTGCTCGTAAAATGTCAGCTCCCGGTACTGGCCGCCGAGACTAGACGGGTCTTCGTCTGGGGACCCTTTGATCCAATGCATGGTCAAGAAGGAGAAAAACCCGTGCACAATGTTGACGCTTGTCCACGCCCAGTCCACAGGTACGATCGTATGCACAACGATGTAGATGATGAACAGGGTGATCACATAGAACCCCATGAACCCAGGAGAGTCCATCCAGTTGACGTTTCTGTTCAGGTTCGGCTCCAGCGGCGTCGCACTGCTCTCTCGTTGCATGGCGTCGGTGATGGAGGCAAGATGAAAGTTTTGGAACGAATCCTAATGTTTTCTACCAATGGGTTTGAAGAAAGAACATTAACGATGAATGATTGGCCAATTCGCGGTTGACTCAAACGATACTAGTACTACTAGTAGTACTCAACGTGGACACCTCACATTTTACAAGACAACGGTAGTATGCCGTCGATACTATTAGTAGTACTATCACGGGTTCGTGATTTTAAAAATCACAACATCAGTCCGACAACCATGGCATACCTCAAGGCGACTCTGGTAGGGCACGATGGCCGATGGAGGTATAGATTCTCATGGTGTACTAGGGGGATAACCTGTCAAAAACAATCCAAGAAGCGAAGATCCTCGTCGTAGGCGCGGGCGGGATCGGTACGTACCATACACATGCACATCACGCGCGCCTAAACTCCACGGTGTTCATAGGATGCGAGCTTTTGAAAAACCTAGTGCTCAGCGGCTTTGAAGACATCACCGTCGTGGATTTGGACACCATCGACGTGTCCAACTTGAATCGTCAGTTCTTGTTCCGTTCCCAACACGTTGGCCACAGCAAGGCGGAAGTGGCAAAGGCAGTGGCGCTGCAATGTACGTCCCTCATGTCCCTGCACCCCATTCGAACCTAAACGAGATGATGCGTCGTAGTCAATCCGCGCGTGAAGATCACCGCGTACCACGAGAACATCAAGTCGAGTCGGTATTCCATCGAGTACTTCAAGCAATTCTCGGTCGTTATGAATGCACTGGACAACGTTGACGCGCGCAAGCACGTGAATCGCATCTGTCTGGCGGCGCAAGTGCCGCTTGTCGAAAGCGGTATGTATCCCATGGCAAATGTACCCGTCCAGCGATCGACAACATTCATGTATGATTTTGTAGGCACGACGGGGTACCTTGGGCAAGTATCTGTCATCATGAAGGGCGACACCGAGTGCTACGAGTGCACGGAGAAGGCCACGTCCAAGGTGTACCCCATCTGCACAATCCGAAGCACCCCCGACAAGATGGTGCATTGCATTGTGTGGGCCAAGGAATGCTTCAAGCTGCTCTTTGGGAAAATGGACGACTCGATGCTATGGGAAGACCCAGCGAACGACGACAAGTCCGCCTACATCGACTTGGTATTGTCATTCTTTTACCCCAAATTTGGACGACTTTTGTGCTGAATCGCCAAATCTATCGATCGATTCTTTGTACTGAATTTTGTATGGGAAAACGTGCCCTGTGGTGATTGGTGGTGTCACACTAATTGAAATCACACACTAATTCACGTTGATGATGGTGGTTTCGTGCAATCTGATTGGCTAAATATCCTTCTGCCGATGATTCTTCTGTGCATTTAATTTGGTAGTGTCGATTCATTCATTCTCCATGTCGCTCCAGTTTACTGTTAGAATAAACACAAAACAATACCTCTCATTGTCCTTTTACCCCAACATTTGGTTGACTTACTCTTTGCCAAATCTATCGATGGATTCTTTGACTTTTGTATGTAAAGATCGTCCTGTATCACACTAATTTCAGTCACACACTAGTTCGGTCCCAGAGTGGATTTGATTGGCCACTTGATTCGTGTTGTGGGTTTTGATTGGTCGATTTTTGATTGTCTGCCGATTTGGTCGTGCTGTTGATTCGATTGAGCACCCAAACTCTCCAATTTCGAATATCTTTTTAATATTACAAATGCCTAATATAGTCGTAGGTACTGGCCAAGGACGTACCCCATCAAGAGTACGCGGCCAACGTGTTTCGGGGGTTGTTTGAGTTTGAAATCCTAAAGAAACTCGATATCAAGGTGTACAAGACGGCCCAGCATCAACCGTCGCCCGTGTTCCTGGACAAGCTCGACCTCGCATCATATTCCCTCTCCTCAAACGACAAGAGCCGCAGCTGGAACGATCGCGTGCTGTGGAGTGTGGACGAGTGCGCCGCCCGCTTCGTGTACAGCGCCGCGCACCTTCTCGCGAGTCCGGACGTGGGCTTGATGGAATTCGACAAGGATCATGCGGTGGCGTTGGAGTTCGTGACGGCCGCGGCCAACTTGCGCGCGCACGTGTTTGGCATTGCGATGGAGTCCATGTACGCATGCAAGGGCATCGCAGGCAACATCATCCCCGCGATTGCCACGACCAACGCCATCGTAGCGGGGCTGCAGGTCCTGGAAGCGTTCAAGATCCTCCGCAACCACCATCGCAAAGAGTCGATCCGACAAGTGTGTCGGTACACGTACTGCAACCGCTCGTGGGACGGCCGCGGGGTGCTGCTCACGCCCGTGGCGCTGTCGGCGCCCAACCCGACATGCTTTGTGTGCTCGCGGCAGGTGGTGGACGTTGGTCTGAACGTCCACTCGACGACACTCCAGCAGTTTGTGGACCATGTGCTCAAGAAGAAGATGGGCGTGCATGAGCCGACTATTTCGATGGGCTCGCACACGATTTACGAAGAAGGCGACGACGCGGAAGAGTCGCTCGCGGCAAACTTGACCAAGAAATTGCCCGACTTGCCGGGCGGCGGCGTCGGCCACGGCGCGGTCGTGATCGTCGAAGACTTCTCCCAGGACTTTACCTGCTCCATCTCGATCCACCACGTGGAAGCGGACGAGGTTGTGTACTTGCTCGGCAGCGAATGGCTCAAGCACCTCGACCAGAAGGAAGCTAGCCAGGACGACGAGGCGGCGGAAGGGGTTGATGTCAAGCGAAAGCACGCAGACGACGATCAAGGCGATGTGACCCTCGTCAAGCGAACCAAAGTGTACTAGGGATGGAGAAGTCATAACATGCATGCTGCCCTTGGATGGGGAGTTTTGAGTTTGGGTGGAAGTCGCGACGGTGAACTTCGCAACGATGCCGCTGATGGCATGTACGCGTATATATACTTCTCGATATGCAGCACAATATATATGTATATATATTATATCTGTTGCAGGGGGGAATGTCAACGTCGGCGGTGTTCTTATGGGATGGGTTTGATCTGGACAAACGTGTGAGAAAGTGAGAATGTGGAGGGAGGACTGACGGAACCGACCTTGAAGTGGAGCGTGATGAGGGAAAACACAAAGCACTTCAAGTCTTGAACGAGGTAGTAGAACACGCGAAGGCCTTCCGGGTCGTTGCTGTCCTGGACGTCAAGCAGCGAGCCAATTTTTGCGCACTACAGCACCGAGTAAGCTTTGGTTGGGAATGAGATTCCAAGCAAACATACCGTGAAGCAAATGTGTTCGTTGTTGTGGATGATCTCGAGCTCTTGTTTCCCGACACGGTCGCTCTCAGGCCACTTGGAGTCGTCTTCCCTACACGCATGGGATGATCTGACCTGGCGATGTAGTGCTACTACGTACTTGATGATCTCGCTGGTTTCGATGATTCGCTTCACTTCTTCAATGACAGACTGCGACAAGGTCACTACAGCAGCACACGTGAGACGTGTGCGAGTACTAGTACGCCCTACCTTCTTTCTTGATCAACGTGTCGTTCTTGTAGTTGGAGTTGTTGGCATACCGCAACTTGCCATCCGCACGGAGCTCAAACTCCATGTACTCGTGGCCGAACTTTCCCTTGTGGCCGACACTATTCCGATGCGTTAGACCCGAGGGACGGTGTCTCAATTCGAGGTCTTACTAGTAGCGCAGGTAGAAGTCATCGGACGGGCTCATCGTGATCGAAGAGTTGCAAACCACAGAAGGAATACATGCAGCCTCCCAATCCATTCTAGTACCCTGGGACGGACCATACGGATTTTGTATTCAGTTTACTAGTAATACTAGTCCATATTAAGTACTTCGAAAACACTGTACTTCGAAGTAGATACGACTCTTCGAAGTACATAGTATTGTGCATTTCATCCAAATTTGGACTTCAGAGTCATTTCGCCAAATAGCTTTTCGAATCGATTTGATCCTATTTAGTATTGTCGATTTTCTTCAAATTTCCCAATTTTGCATGGTTCGTTCAATCGAGCACAAATAGAGCCGAGACATCTGATTGGCCATTATTCACTTCGCCCTTTCCAGTAGAAACTCGAAAAAAGATTGTAGCCAATCAGCGACAAGAAATTTCGGATTGACCAATGGGAGAGATTGGTGCTCGATTCGCTCGGCGAGATTCGATTGAACGGGGTCCGGAAATTCATACCGAACCTCCAATACTTCGAAGTAATCTTGTACACACTATACTTTACAACGATTAGTATATCTGTGGTTTTTGCCCTATGCAGAGGGGTCAAGCGTTTGGATTGGCCGAAATTCGACATGACGTGATTTGATTGGCTCAGGCGGTTCCTTAATCCATTCTCTTGATTCTGCTGAGGGCTCCAGTTTCGAATCGATTTGACAATACTAGTACCCTGGTACCTAGTATATTGATACTCCAGGAGTACCAGTACAGTGTCCTTCGCTTACATCGACCTAGGGAATTTAGAATCGAAATAAAATCTAAATGTTGAAGTCTGATTGGCCAACATCGATTATTTTGACAAATCAAACCCACAGATTGAAAAAGATGATTCTGATTGGTTATTGTCGATTTGCTGGGAATTTCCGAATATGGCGAGGTTCAGAGCCCTATTTCATAAACCACGCGACGGCGTTTGATTGGTTCGTCTGTGAGTTTGGCAGTTTCACATCTGCGCGCCATTTCCAAACACACGCCCTTCTGGCAGCTTGTCGATACCATGAGCGCTATTATGTTGTCTTCCACCGACAAGCCAGCCCCAACACTATGATGCTATTCCTCTACGACTACTACTTCCTAGGGATGAAGAAGTCTTGTTTGGCAGTCATCTATGGGAAGGACGAGAAAACGATTCATTTCACTCCACGACACACCACCACAGTCGAACGTTGCCAACCTGACAGCGGACGTGTTGCGCTGACCGACAGTCTCTTTGACCATAGGCTCAAATGTGAGCTCGTACAACGAGGTTGAGTGCGCCCCCACCTCTGGTTGTGGGCTTGGACGTGGGCTTTGTGAGGACATCGTGTTCCTCGCGGGAGTGTCTGCAAGTTTGTGTCCGCATGTACTTCCTCTGTCCCATATTACTCGTCGATTTGAAAAACACACTTGTTCCATATTACTGGGGCACAAACGCATTTGATTGGCTTACAAAAATTCTCAGCACTTTCATTGGTTATTAATACCCTGCTCTACAAGAGAAGCGATACAGGGCACGACATGTTTGACATCAGAAGACCGGCGCGGCGCAATGCGGCCTTCTTCAGATGTGGCAAGGCAAACTTGTTGTCGCCAGCATGCTCGAGTACCAGCCGCATCACCGCTTGAAAGGTGAGAAACACACACTCGAGCTTCTCATAGCTCAGCTCATCAAACGAAGCGAGCGTGTACCGGATCACCTCATCCACAGTGCGACTCACCTTCTTCAACTGCAGAGACTGAATCGACGCGAAGAACCCGAGGTCCAGCACATTCAAGTCTGGGCTGTTTGGTGGCTGCCGGCGTACCACAAACGTCCAACCGTCCGTTGACACAGACGCCAACTCGGCATCCGTGATCGACCGATGCGGCGTCGCATTGTCCTGCTGCAGGATGACGCGCTTGTTCGTGCTCGGGAACGAAGCCTTGATTGCCGGTACGACCTTGTTGATGACATAGTCTCGATAAACATTGGCGTTGACGTTGACCAACGTTGTGACCAAAGTCCCAGCAGGGCGATTTCGTGACGAACGGACAGCAGGAACCAAGTCGACGAAGGGCCACATTCCAATCTTGCCATCGAACAAGACGCCGCGTCCTTCGTCGAAGCGTGGGCGGGCAACGGCGGCCAGGAACATCACCTTCGGTATGAACCTCTTGCTCTTCCACGATCGGCATGGAGGTGCCTCGTTTGCCAACAGGTACATGGTTCGGCGGTCCTTGTCCGCATTGAACCACTTCTCATCCAAGTGGACAACGTCCCATAGGGGGTCGAACTCGACGCAAGGACCGGCTTCGCCGGCGCCGGCATGGCCGGCTGTCTCCGCGAGCGTAGCGTACGCGGCAAAATTGGACGCGTTCTTGCTTGTTGGCATCGGACAAAAGGGGTTTGATGCGTGTGGAGCGGCGGCGAAAGGTCCCCTTCTTTAGGTGCCGACTCAACGTTCCGACAGGGATGCCCGTAGCGACCGAAATGTCACGCATTGTGGAGCGCTGTTCGAACGGTACAGCGCCCACGCGCTGCTGGACGTCTTGAACCGTGTAGCGCTTAGGCCGACCAACGTTGCCTGCCTTGTTGGATTCGATCTTTCCACCGCCGCGGAATGTGCGCCAGATAGCGGAGACCACGCGCGCACTGACGTCGAGTTCTCTTGCAGTTTTGGCAAAAGCGCCGTGGGTCAACCATCCACCTTTAATGAACTGGTGTAGGTGTCGGATCACATCGTGTCGCTGGTTGCAGGAAAGCTCGCGTAAGGCTTGGGGCATGGCGGCAAATTCAAAAGTGTGTTGATCTTTATATGTGGCGTGTTTTTATTCGGGTGGTGGAAATGAGAAGTTGATTTTGGGCGCCAAAATTCAAGTTTCGCTCTTGACAGCCAATGGTTGGTCCCTATGGATTTTTATGCTCTCTATTAAATGATAAATTTCATCGAGTTTGGTAAAGAAATGGATTTTTGGGGTCGATGAGAAGTCAAATCGACGAGTAATATGGGACAGAGGAAGTATGTTGTGGAGTGAGTGGCAGTGCGTCACGTTTTCTGATAGCCAATCATATTCTAGTATGAATGGATTAGCCAATGGGCGAGGTTTTTGATAGGTAGATTCGATTCGACGGAATCTGGAATTCTGTACCAAATCCCCACTGTATTTCTAACTGTAAGCTGACATCCAATATTTCCCATAATACAGTATACTATCCACGGGTCAAGGCTGCGATATGATTATTGTTATATATAGTTCATGTCCTACTGTAGTATATGTCTGGCAATATGGTACTACTATTAATACTAACGTTAGAGGCGAAATCTACATTGTAGTGGCATCATTGCGATAGTTCAGCCGACAAATCTCACGTAACCCTGCTGTATGGTCTGACTTGTTTACACTCGAACGAGCTGATTTCCTTAGAGGACAGTGGCATGCTGAAGGCAAGCGGTCACGGCGGCCATCGTGTCCTACCAATAAAACACCGTTGATAATTGTTCCATCCCAATATTCAAAACAAATAGATTAATATTGTAGACGTTTTTTACGTACCGTCAGCAGTTTCTCCGTGACATTTTGCTTTCGCTTTTCACACAGAAACGCCAAATACACGTTCGGATCAATGCGAGCCACCGCATACGTCGTGGCCATTTGTTTTTCGTGGTGGATGGTGCTACAGCCATCGCATAATAAATCACCCTCCAAAACTATAAATATATATGTAGTACATTGGCTTGGAGTGGTGCAGCTTGGCGCCGTCGTGCTCGTCCCATGGCGGTAGATTCGTGAGCAGCATGATCAGGTTGGGCCAGTGTTTCAGAATTAGCGACGTGTCGAGCTCCGGCTTGGGGTAGCTAAACACTAGACGATGTAATAACCATGAGATCGTTCCATCGAGGTGAATGAATGCATGCACATCATCCTTCAATCGGTTACACCTGCCGGCCACGTGCCCACGCCCCACGGCGCAGCAAACTCGCCGTTCACGTCTTCATCATAGCGACTCACTTGGCCAAAGTACGTTTTGTTGGCTGCCCGGATGTGCTGCTTGACCGCGACCGACGGGTCCGGCTTCTCGACGTGCGCGGGGCAGAGGTACCCGTGGCAGTGGAAGGTCGCGCCATTGTGTGGCAGGCTGTCGGTGTTAATTATGATCGTCATGGTGGCTACATCTTGTTCTTTAACTAGCATAGCAACCACCAACTTAGTTATGGTGCCTTTTTTGCCCAAAAAATTACCAATTTCGGGGGATTGTTGAAATCACCACGAAATCAACAAAAGCAGTCTGATTGGATAAAAAGAATGAAGGTTGATACAGGATTGGCTAAAAGGAAAGATACCTACAAATATACACTTATTTCGCATTGTTGTTGGGGTGAAGGGAATTATAAGTAGAACACACACAATACTAAAAAGTATACTAAATCAGAGAGACGTACAATGCTTGGAAAAGAACGGCTCGAGGATGTCCAGTACGGGAGACGAGCGCAACGACGACGACGACGACTTGAAGGTCATGTTCAGGTGATGTTGCGGCGGGTGGTCAAACGGGTAGAGCCACTGTGACCATCGCTCGTCAGTATGTGCATATGTCGTTGATTCGTTTGAAACACAGGTCAGTACCTTGTAAAAGTAGAGGCTGAATTTACGAACCAACGACTGCTGCCAGCGGCGAGCCCAGCAGAACCGCGGCAGCACAATTATGCCAGTGTCTGAGGTCATGAATTGATTTTCGAGCCATGATGTGTTGCATACCGTCGTCGTCGTCGTCGTGGGTGGTAGTTGTCGGCAAGAGGTCGAGTGACATTCGAATGGACGACATCGAGTGAGCGCTGGAATAGCCTGGCGAGTCGCCCGCCGTCCCCTTCTTGGCCTTCAGTGGGGTGATCTTTCTGGGCTTGTCATCCGACAGACGCGGCGACGAGGCGCTGCTGCTCCCCATCATGTGATTGTCGTCGTCGTCGTCGATTGCATTCAAGCCGTCGCTCCATTCATGCATGCAACTAACAGTACAAGTCCCATATGCATTGGTCTTTACGCCCGAGAATAGTATACGGTCCCAGATACGTACCGCTTGAGGCGATGCAGCGTCGTGATGGCTTTGATGTACTCGAAATCGGAGATAGCCATCTCACACTCGATCGCGGCACGCACGGCACCCACTTCGAGCAACGCCATGTCTCGAATCGCCTAGTCCATCCTGTCATGATCCTTCAAATGTACATGCAGATTAATCATCGGCGACGGCGGCAACCGTACCGTGAGCAAGGGATGGCTCAGCGTATTCAAGTGTTGAATGATGGCGGCAACAGTGTCGAATTGCTACACGACATGCCAACAAGAAATGCGCCAAGATGTCAATGTAGGCATGGAAGAATATACAACAGGACAGCAAAGTACCTCGTAAAAGTCGACAAGGTGGTGCCCGCATATCCGGTCGCGCATCAAGGCCACGTACAGCGACACCGCGGCCTGGCGGTGCTACTTGCCACTTTTAGTGACGATTTCTCTACTGAAAGGATCAATATGGAGTACCTCGAAGAGCACGCTGCATTGCTGGAGGAAGGCGGTCAGGTCGTGGGCTTGAAGTTGCAAGGTCAGATCGAACGATGGCGCGTCTATCGACTGTCGCGCCTTGGGGGTCTTGACGCGGCCAAACCGGTCCACGTCGGCGTTCCCCTTGTGGTTCTGGTGGACGAAGAGCAGCTCCGATGTGCTCAGCTTGGCCAGTTCGGCGTACAGTCGGGCCAGCGGGTTCGTCGAGTCATCCTGTGCTTTGTTGATGAATGTCGTCTTATGATACCTACCAAGATGCCATGGTCGGTGATCTTTCCATGACTACAGCAGAAGGATGTGCTCCCACGTGCTGTCGCAATCGGCCCAGAAATGCAACAACTTGGCAATGCGCTTCCACTCGTGCACGTCGCCCAGTTCCGACGGAATCAACTCTTTCGCCTTCACTTGCGCCATTATGCCACTGCAATGGAGTCGACAATGAAGGACATACCTGGATGTACTGAAAGTCGTTCATCGCGTCCATGAAGGCGGGCAGACGCTCCTGTAGACCCACGCACACCGCCGGGTGAGGCGTCCTCGTCGCTGTCATGCTCAAACTTTCGGCCAAACTTTACAAATATTTCATTGATTTGTTGCTTGTTAAAATTTTATTTAAAATTTGGCCAAATTATGCTGAAATGCAGGCTTTCTGACATAGAACAGCAGCAGCACAACTGCTCAGTGGTGTGACCTGGGCCAGCGATGTACGTGACCACTTCTAGCCATCCGCCACATCACTAAGTGTAGGCTCAGGCAAGTACAAGCGTCGTCCTTCTTTCCTGATACTGAAGGAGACGAGTCGAGCCTTCCGCCGACTCGGAAGACCTCCACCAACACCGGGCCTTCAACACGACTGTACGGCATATACCTGTCACTACCCTTCACCGAGTATGATCTAGCGAGTATGAGGCAGTACCCACGATGCCACGTCAAAGCGCCACACCCCGAGATCAAGACCAGAGCGTGGGTTTGTCCAGTGGGGCATACGTCGGCGAGATTGAGTTTCCCGCGACGAAATCGATTCTGTGGTACTGGGTCCTTCCATGCGCCATGCTTGTGTCAAGGGAACCGTCGCTACATGTAGGGATCGTCGGCCGCTTTCCGAACCACATGTCGTCCATGCAGCCGATATATTCGTTCCATCGGCTGTTGTCGTCTCGCCGTCCGCGGTCACCTCCATTATCAACTCTGTCAGGAATAATACCACTGGCGGTGCCTTGGACCTCGTCGGTCATGCTTCGTTTTCTGAAGATGTGTCGGCAACCAACTGGAAACTCATCATCACTTCGTTCACTCCACATCGAACCAGCGTACGTTTTGCCATCTTGCACTCACAACTTCACTTTATTATCATGCACAATTAGAACGTGGCGTCTGCCATTCCTGTCTATGCCAGCACAACAAGTCCAACAGACGACTCCAGCCAGGTAGTAGTAGTAGTACTTGCACACTCGTTCATGTTGAATGTGTTGATGTCCTAAACATAGCAAATGTAGGCAAGTCCATGGCATCTTGCGTTGGCTCAAGACTTTTCAAAAGTGCTGGCGCCCACCACCACCACCAATCTACGGGTCTCGTCCGAATTATTGACAGCGTATTTATCGGTAAATCCAGTCGTTTCCATGTCCACAAAGTAGTGATATGTATAACCAACATATATCATTTTGTTTCGTAGGTGCAACTCGTGGTATCAGATATCACTTCCACGTCCGTGACCGTTCAAGCGAGCGCGTTGGGCCCCCAGACCTCGTCGCTGACATTGACGCCAATTCGCAACTTGCCCCTTTTATTGACCCCTCTGGCAAAGCTGCTCATGAAACCCCGGGCCGTGAGTCCGTCGTGGTGGGGCTATGTGACACTGGACAAGACCCGCAAGGTCGTGCCGCTGCTTCAGACAGATCCGCTGTGCGCGTCGCGGCCGTTGGTGGGGGTGTGGGTGCGCAGTCTATCCCTGTCGCACATGTACTTGGCCTCCATGTTGTTTGGAACGACGTCGTCTCGTCAAACGCTGTGGATTGCGCCGCGAACGTTCCTCCTCGTCAAGTACCCTATGCAGTCCACCCAGTGGCTGCCAGAGTTTTACGAATGCACGATCGTGGCCGACAAGGCATTACTTGGGTTTTTCACATCGTCGCAAACCGCTGCATGTGACAGAGCGGTGGAAATTTGTATGGAGCGCCGCGTGTTTCCTGCCACGCTGCCAACATCGTCGTTAACTTGTGAAGACCAAGTCTCGACGCAAGAGAATGTCGTCAACACGAGTGTCCCCCCAGTCGTGAATTCGTATCGCCCAGAACCTCCAAGAAATGATACCATGTCGTCCTTTGACATGCCGACCCCCATGCCCGAACGAGCCCCCCCCATCCCCCCTCCGCAGACCAAACCCATCTTACCACTGCCACCGCCTCCGCCGGGGGATATCGATGACCAACCCAGTGGCGGCAGTGGGGGTCGGAATGACGTCGACTTGGCGGCGCTCGTCCACCACCAATCTCGAGTGATGGATGCCATGCAATGTGAAATCCAATCACTGCAACGCCAATTGAAGGCCGCGATGGCCCCAAAAACGGAAAAGGCCGAAGTGGGCACCAACACCTCGTTTGCGGGTGAAACCAATGCCTTGGACTGTACGACGTCGTGGAAGGGCAACGATAGCGACCTGGACGACGACGACGACCTGGACGACAGGTATATGATGACACCTCCTCCATTGGTCGTTCAACCAGCAGCCTCACAACCCCCCCCCTCCTCCCCCTCCCCCTCCACGTCATCGCCCTTGGCAGGCGGCGCAGACTTTAGTTTCGACGTGCCGCGGATTCAAGTGCCAAGTGCCGCCTCCACCATGGACGGACAGTCGGACGACGACGACGACGACGATATTGCACAGATCGAAGCGCGGTACCTTGGAAAGGTCAAGCGGGCACCCCTCACCACATGACAAGTGTGCTGCCGACGTTTTGACGATGATTCAACTAACATCAAGTAACGTTATGAAACAAACCACGTGGGTAATGGTTGACGTTGTTTGGGTGATTGTTATTCATTCAATGACGCCACGGCCTTGCAGCACGACAGTCGCTTTGTCCGCGGCGGAGTACGCGACCATGGTCGCAGACACTTCCTGACCAGGGAGGGAGGGCGTGAAGGTCACGGGCACTTCGACGTAGGACCGAGGGCGAAGGGACACGCTCGCGTACGAGCAGCTGAACGGACTCTCGAGGCGCTGGAGGAACACCGTGATGGATTCCTTGCCTCCGTTGCAGATGCGGACAGGCTGCGACTGGCCAGTCTGGACACGGACAGCCCCAAACTCGATGGATTTGGCTTGAAAAAACAGCCCCTTCTTCCTCGACTTGCTTCGGGACGTCGTGGTGGTGGATGTGGTGGACTCGGCCAAGTAACTCATGGCCATCTCTTGAATCGACGACGACGATGACGGCAGGGCGTCCTGTCGGGAAGCCATCAGAGTAGCAGCCATCTTGTCGTCGTTATCGTCCACCACGACACTAATCTCTCGAGTCACGGCCCCGTTGACCACAACCGTAAGCAGTCCACACCACGCCACCGCCTGCACTTGCGACAAAGACGTGAGGGAGATGTCGACCGTGCATTTGCCGTTGGGGGGGATCACGCCTTGGTTTGGGGTCACGCGAAGGTGCTTGAACGGACACGACACGCTAAAGGTCGACGTCTTGGCCACGTAATTGAAAATGTCAATCGACGCTGTCGTGCGGCGGCGACGGATCAGCCGGACATGGGTCGGCTGTACGTCAAACACGTGCTGCTTTGGATGTGAGTCGTCCGCGATGACGGAAGACGTCCGTGGATGTGGGGGCGGAGGGACGAGGGAGTGGTCGATGGGAGGGGGCACTCCTGACGGCTTCTTCACGTGCGCATCCACAATGATCTCGTACGGCGTTGCCATTGGGTCCCCTGACATGCTCCGGAATTGAAATATTGCCGACACAGCCCCAAGTTTCGTCGCGGCAAACCTAACCAGTGGTATATGCGTTAACTTATAATGACAAAGGATGACATACCGAATGACAAAGTGGTCGGACGAGTGCGGGGTCAGCTCCAACACGGTGGGGGCGATGACGAATTGGTTGCAGCCGCGGCTCAGCGGCACAATCGACGCGCAAATCCGTGCGTAGTTGGCGCTCGTGTTGCGAAACACAAACGTCTCCGAGATCTCCCCGCCAATCGTGCACAGAAACCGCTTGCACAACTTGGGTCGCTACTCAACATAAACCATATAAATCAGTATATATATATATATTATTCTTCATTGGGAAGGATGATATACATACACATCCCCAATGAACATATATATATATAAATCCTTCTTTGGGTATATGCACATATCCCCAGTAAATGGAATCAAAGATTGTCCAATCAGATATATTTCTTACGTTGAGGGTGCGAGGACTCGATTGGGTGTACATCATCTGGTCCTACGTGGACCATCGTTGATCGTTGATATCCAGCACTCGGTCGTACATGAAAGACGTCGCTCGTCGATGGCTGATCGTTTGTTGGGTGGACAATCGACTGTTGAGTGGTGCTGACGTTTGGTTGGTGCTGCTTTGGATTGCTGCTGGGGGAAGCAGCACCTGAGGGGTACCCCAGTTCTTCTGCATGCATGGCGCCGCCGGTGGACCTGACATCTGATTGGCGGCGTTGGTGGTACGGACGGGGGGGAAGAGGAGGAGGCTCCGTTGCCTCCGACGGGGTCGCAGCAGACGCAGGCTGTTGTGCATGGTGTTGACGCACGTCGTTGGATACGCGACCAACTTGTCTATCGTCGGCTCTTGGCGGTGCCAAATGAGGTTTGCCACGTGCAGCCCCGGGATGGCCTTGAAGCGTGCCTTGGTTGTGTGAACTGGGTTGGTTCTTTCGACTGTACTGGGCATATGTCGACGTTGGTTCGTCATATCGTTGTTGATTTTCCCGAGAAGAATTCTGCTGCCGTAAACTTGTATTGCTCACGTCATCGTGGATCCTCACAGGGTTGTCTGTTGGAGTGTTCGGCCAAGTGGCAGTGTCTCGATGGGTGATGCTATCAGTACGGTCACGTGGGGTCGTACTAGGTTTACGCACATCCCCATGGCCATCGTTGGACGGAGCAAGGTCCATCCACGGGCGTTGGGTTGGATCGGATGTATTCTGTTGGTGGTGGTTTGCAGTTGTGGGGGTGACATAAGGCGACCCCACCGCCCCGCCACTGGAGCTGCTTTGGAGGACTGCATGCTCGGATGATGATGCAAACAGCGACGCCGTTCCGTCCTGCGGCAGTTGTCGGCGACTTTGGCCATCCTGACGAATGCCGATTCTGCTGCTGCTACTGCTCGAAAATTCATTCCGACCCCCCCTCCTCGTGGGGCTGCTGCAGCTGGTCGACGGGTCCGGACAGTGTTCTCTTGGCAGTCGTTGCTGGTGCTGATTTTGACTGCCTTTCAACGTCGTGTCGATAAAATCATACGCATCGTGTGTCCCCGTCCACGCCGCCGCCTTTGGGTTGCCGCCAGCTGTCGACGACTCGTCCGTCCGGCGGCAGTGGTCGGCGATGGCCATGGCTTCCGAGACCACCGCCGCCTCGACGGCTTGTTGCGCCAACTCGCGCAGCCGCAGCACTTCCGACACGGAGTGCTGCATGACGTTTGTGGCTTCCATCATGGCTTGGACCTACGAAACGGAGGGAATATGTCGATAACCTACAGTATCAAACATCGCTTGAAAAAGGGTGTGTGTCGTACGGCGACCACAGCGTCCAGCGAATGATGCAGCATCGCAGACGGATGGATAGGGCCAGTCCAGTTGATCGCCGCTCGATCCTGGGCGGGCATCGACCGCGCCGATTGAATCGCATCGTCCACCACCGCTTGGGCCGACGCGCGCGAGTTCAAATGGACGTGGATGGGTCCTGGCCTTCTTTTCGCAAAATCCACCACAGCACGAGTCTACCCACAAGGTGATGTGTTTAGATTGGCCATATATATATATACAAGGAGATGCGTCGCCTACCTCGACCGTGGGCCCATCCAGGTTGTTGTTGTTGGTGGAGTCGTGGTGGGGCGTCTAACCATGTCAAGAGGGGCACAGCCAGTAAATACATAACATTGAATTGGGTGTATATTCTAAACTGGAGCGACATGGAGAGAAAGATGATCATCAACCCCATATGTATGTACACAAGTCTGGAGCCAATCAGATTACAGGAAACTATTGTTAACATTTCATTATGGTTGACTTGAAACTTTATTACACGCCCCACAGGACAACACTTTACTTTTCAGTCGAAACCATCGATCGGTATAGATTTGCACAAAAGTCAACCAAATATTGGGAAAAAGTCCAAAATTGAACACGAAATCAGTAGTAGTACTTGAGATTTCGTCGACTCGGTCGGTGGTGGAGCAGTGCCGTTGGACATCATGTCGTGGGAAATGGACAAATCAGGCGCGGAAAACGGTCGGGCGTCGTGGATGGGCCCACTTTGCATTGCCTGGTAGACGAGCCATGATATATATGCCGTAAGTGTGGTGGTGCACACTGCTATAAATAGGTCGTACATGTTCGGCTTGAAACGACGGAAAGCTGCCCGTGCTTCGATCGCGCAGTGAGCCCCGCTCCTCCTTGATCGTGTATTAGTGGAACAACAGAATAAAACTCGTAGCTACCTACCTTGGCAAAGGATTCGTCTCGGCGGAGGTGGTCTGTGCCGCGTGGACTCGCCTAGGTCGTTCCGTATGATTGCATGTTCATGTGCTCATAGAGTAAGAAGAAACACAAAGTACGAGAGGTTGCTGGTCTGTCCTGTCACATCGAAGCGAATGCTACGGCGGAGAGAGAGAGTGAGGGAGTGCATGTTAGGCGGATAAACATTTCTTGCTTGGGACGCATGAGTTGTTTCTTGTACCTTGGTGGCGGGGAACGATGGCGGTATGGCGGACGTGGAAATCGCATGATTGAGCTCCATGGAGATCTTCTTGAGTTCCTTTCGAAGGATGAGCAACAAGTGTCTACATGAGATAGCACGTACATCCGCTTGTGCATCGCCCGGACTCGCGTTCGTGTCGGAGGTTCTTCCAAATTCGACAGCTTTCAAATTCCGCGATCGTCGGGCAAAGAACTCCTCGAGCTGCCATTCGGCGCCATCCACGTCAGCATGAAAGGAAGGTTTCTGCACGGGAGATGATGGCGTTGTTGGCGGATGGACAGGCGTTTCAGTGCGCTTGATGAACGTGGCTACAACGAGTCCATGACGTGATGGTGACTATTTTCGACCATCGAGGGCAGCAATACCTGCGTCGACGAATTCTTCCTCGTCGAGATTAAGGATCCTTGGAGCGAATGTAATCGATTCGGCTTGTATAGCCAAGTTTTGCGTCGGCAAGAACAGGCCGTCCAGCGAATCATCCCGGTTCTTCTTTGGTCCATCGTCCGCGTGGACATTTGTCCGGCGTTGGTTGTGTGGGCTCGTTGGCGGACTGAAGCGGTTGTCCCCAAAGGTGGAATTCATCGAGCTGGCTGAAGGCGATGTATTGTTGACGGGCGTGGGGTTCGTGTTTATGATGTCGAAATCAAACTTCCTCGCATTCTGGCCCTTCCGACGATTCAAGTCGACGTCATCGCATTGCTTCCCTGTGCTGTGATGGACACCGAAGCTTGGAGATGCCGAAGTGTTCTGTGATGGAATCCCATGTTCACGTAGTTTCGTTCTGATGGCATCCATCGTCCTGTCGTGCACCCCGCCGTCGCGCATGCTATGGGCGCTGGACATGGACTCTGCACGACTTTTCAATTTTATTTAATTACACAATTTCACACCATTCAAAATTTGATATTTTTTAAATATCTTTTCTAAATAGTATTCATAATATCCATCATTTGTAATAATATCGAGATCCAGTTTGGTGTCAAATGTTATGGTGAGCGGTCGGATTCGGGGGAATCCAACAAGCAGTGGCGCCCTGCGATCACCGGTCATGCCGACAAAGGGTGCCGAGACCAATGGACTCCAGCCCTGGGGTACGAGATGCCTAGGACATGGGAGAGATGACACATCTCACCATGTGCACGAAGGAGGACAAGAAACTGCCGACAATGGCCCAAGCACGTCCGTGGACTCGACGGCAGTCGTCCGTGGACCCGTTGCCTCATCGAGCGACGACGAGAGTGAATTCGTTCCGTCAACGACCCTTCTCGACAACGGCATCTTACACATTCGAGGGAAAGGAGCATTGGGAAACAGGGTTACGTCGTCGACCACTCCCGCGACGCCGCTGAAGCGCAAGTACAACAACATAAAAAAGGTGCAAAAGCGCAAGATGCTCGACTCAGCACAAAGCACGACGCCTGATACGAAGCGGACCAAAGCAACGTCGTCTTACGGTCCGACCAATGGATACTCCAAGAAGGTCTGGGCATCGGACTCGGACGACACTGAAGCACGGGTACGCTACAGTAACCTCCATGGATGCTCATGGTGAGGACAGGGAAAGAAGGATGCTGCTGCCATGTTGCACGAAGACTGGGCGTGGAAGGAAATCGATCAAGACTACATGCGACTACCTTCCCGCGTACGTGTTCCATTTCCGCTTCCCCCCAACTCGATATGTATCCTTAACCAACCCGATGCATTGTTAGAAGCAAATGTTGTACATACACACCCTCCAACAGGACGCCTGTCGAACTGTTGTGTCCAACCTCGGCGATCTCCACGGCGCCGACAACGACTCACTTGTCCAGCCCATCATGGACGCACGAATGTGCCACATCGATGGAATTGCTGCAGCTGCTTCTAGCCCGCTTGAACGACCGCGACGTGGACGGTACTACAAGGACATCTGGGCCGACGTCGACTATCTGGACGCGTTGAAGACGTCTGCTACACACGACACGTCTGAATTCGAAACGTACACGTCCAACCACGACCTGGTCGCTCGGTACGACGACGACGCGTACGAGCAGTTCGTGCACAGGTTGGAAGGCCATCCCACAGACCCGCGAATACGGCAACATGCCAAGCTCGGCCATGATCACCATCCTGCTGCTAGTTTGCAGACGTCTGCTACGTCTTGTGTGGTACAGACAAGCGCATGTGTGACTGTTTACAAAACGATTGTAGACACAACCTTGTCAGTCGCATTCGGCGTCTTGGGGGGGGACGGCCTGCTTGGATCCGCCGCCAGAAGCGGACGAAGTGTCGGCCGCGCTCGACATGTGCATCAAAGCGCTCGTGCCTCAATCCGCCGCGAACTTCCATGCCCTTGGCCACGTCTGCGGTATATCAACATACGTGGAAGGAATCGACCGAAGCTTACTGTGTCTAGATCGAGTGGCCAACGAAGCCCAGCTGGAGCCGATATTTCACCAAGAAAGGCGCGTCGCCGCCGACATTGAACGCTACTACCAGCGGTGGAAAGCGGGGGTGGACATCGAGTTGCGCGGTGCGTCGGTCCTGTCGGCGTGGCGGGAGGCGCTGTGGTCCCAAGACTTTACCCCCACACAAATCAGAGCCGTGGAATTCGCCGTCCGCTTTGCCACGTACGGGAAAATGCTTTGCATGTTGCTGTGTATCATTTTTGAATGGTAGGACATTGCAGCGGGGGGACGGCGTGGACTTTCTCGATCACACGGGGCAGTGGGAGCCAGGGTTTGTTGTGGACGTGTTTGTCGAATCGGCCGACGTGCTCAGCCACGCCAAGATCCAGCTGCTGCAGCATGGCGCCGTGTCCCAGGAGTGGTGCTGCGTGTTCAGCGGTCGCCTCATGCCCCCGGGCACCAATACCCGCCGGACCGCGGTCGCCCTCGACGTCAAGATTCACCCCGCGCCGCATGCCGTCCAGCCGCCGTCGGTCGGAGGACATTTGAAGCGAGTGACCGCGGTGGCATCAACGGCATCGTCATCGTCGTCCCATCCAAACACCCCCGACGCCCGGACAAAGCACGAGTCCTAGTACATCAAGTAGGACGAGTATGTAGTCGCCGCCGTCATTGGCACCTTGTAACTGTAACCTTAATATCTACCCCGCCCCGTCCAACGAGTCTATTTTTATCACGGGGGTGACACTCGAGTACTACGAAATAGCGTAGTGGCAATAGTATGGCGGCACATCAGACCAACCGCCTGCGATGTCCGCGCGGTATGCACGAGGTTACGACCCATCGCTTGTTGGTTTTGGACAAGAAGGCGCGGAAGCGACTGCATGTTGGGTGCACCAACTTGTCCAAGTCGGCGTCGGTGCCAGCATTGCATCAGGAACTGGGCGACGAGAACGCCGCGATGGCAAAATTAAGCACGTTGTCGGTGGTTCATCAAGCCAAACTGACAAATCAGCGAAGTGGACACGCGTCGTCGTCCAAGGCGGCGGTGATGGCGCTGGCCCCCGTGCCAGCAGCAGCTGCCTCGCCCCCTGTCCCCCCGCGCCCCCACACATCGCACGAAATGACAGCGACCAAAGATAATCTCGGCCATGTCGACAATGCCCAAGCACCAGTGTTGACGATGATGCATCGACGAAGTGAATCGGACCGATCGCTGCTTTCGTCATTGAAAGACCAGCAGCAGCTAGATGTAGATGATAAAGAGACTCAAGACAAGAATAGCCCCTTGGCCAAAGCCAGCTTTGCGAAGAACAGAGACAAGCTGCGGGACCGCGTGGCCACCAAGTTTGGGTCTTTGCGCGCCATGTTTCGCGCGTTCGACACACTCGGATCGGGGGGGATTTCGCTCGAGCAGTTCCACGCGTCCATAGCAGGGCTCGGTAACTTGCGCCCCTCCATCCTAATGTCGTGAAATTTGTGTCTGATGCTATGTGTGGTTTACAAGGGCTCGACATCACCGACGCAGACGAGCGGCTGTTGTACCAGACAGTCGACACGAACGGCAACAACTCGATCGATTTCAAAGAGTTTTCGGCCATGTTTGAAGTTGAGCCGATGCGCAACAGCTTTGTCGACACGGGCAACAGCGCCGAGCGATTGAAAGCCACCAGGAAGCCCCGTCTCCAAGTTAGCCCCCGGACAAAGGTCCGGATTAAGGCGTTCCAGGACACGTTATCGCACACGTTGCTAAAGAAACACGTGTCCCAGCAGGTCGCGTACGGGTCCAACTCGAAAGGTAGTACTGTAGTAGTACCATGTCAATATGTGACATGGTACTCACATATTGTGAATTCACTTTAAATTCGAATGGTTTGTCTAATCAATATTGAATCACGCTGGAGTTTTGATTGGTTGAATATATTTGTCTTTCTGTAAGAACCAATCAAATCCACTCAAAATTAGATTAGCCAATAGCGTGGATGCGTGATTTGATGGGGTCTGGAAATTTGTACCGAATCCACAATATATATATATATACATATATATATATTTCCAACCAGGGCGTGTATCATCCATATACTATGGGGGATATATTGTATGTCTAGTGTTGTTGAATGCGTTTCGACACATGGATGTGGACGGCGACGGGTCGTTGTCGTACGACGAGCTCAAAAACGCCCTGGGGCCCCAAATGCTCGACCTTGAAGTCGACCCCGCCGAGCTCCAAGTCATGATCAACACCATCGACGACGACAAGAACGGATTCATCTCATACAAAGTAGTATACGAACCAAAGCAGCCGATAGATACATAGCGTCGACACTTTTCTAACGAGGATGATGGATGTGTGTGTAGGAGTTTGTCAAGTTCTTCTCGCTCAAGCCCGACATTGACCAAGACGACATTTTTCACATTGGACGGCAGCGCGAGCTGGCGCTGCTGGCGTCCCGTCACACGACACGAGACGAACCCCTTCCGTTTATCGATTTTGACGACAAAGGCAAGCACCTCGCGCCTCTCGTAGCAGGAGCGTCCAGTAGTAGTAGTACTACTACTACAAGTAGTCGGACCACGGAACCAAACGATCCGCGAGGCCTGCACGAGAGGCTAGCCCGAAGGACCCTCGACCAGTTCACGGCCATGTCTTCGTCTTCCTCGTCGTCCCCTGACCAACCGTTGGAAAGTCCTCACAAGTCCCCCCGGGAGTTGGACGCGCTCTTCGCCTCACTCGCCCCTGTCAGTGCGTCCAAAGGTCGGTCGACCGCGCCCATCGAATGGAGTCGCATTGGAGTCGGCGGCAACGACGGCGTAAACAAGCAGTCGGCGTTGTACTTGGCCGAGTCGGAACGTTTTGTGACCACCAACGACGAGCAGTTCGGCCCCATGTCTAAAGATCGGCCGAGGGCGGGCCTTCCCCAGCACGACCTGGACAAGCAAGCAAGGCGACTCAAAGGGCGGCATGCCACCACGAGCCACAACATCGCCCGCATCGACCACAACAACGCACAGCGCAAACTGCAGAGCCAATTGGAAGACAAGGCGCGGCTTCGCGGCAAGTCCAAGCAGCGACACGCGTACAGCAACGGCGTGATCCAGACCGAGGAGAAGCTGTTCCAGCACAAGAACCATATGGCGAAAAAGCCCGGCGGGTCGAGCTTCCATCGCATGTGGGCTGGGAGCCTCGAGTCGCAGTTCAATTCGCAACCGTGGGGGGTGTCCACTGCGGCAACGGTGCAACCAACCCCCGCACGTCCACTGTGAAAGCTGATAATATTATTCAAAAATATTATTAGTTTGAACAATATTTTTTTATTTTTTTTATTTTTAAATAATGTTTTTAATTGATCCTCACGAATACTAGTACATCCGAAAAAAATCAATTTGTTGAAATGCAGCGAATAATCTTTCTTATATATATATATATATATATATGGTGGACAAACACGAACCTGTGCTAAACTTGGTGGGTTTGTTGGCCTCACGCCATCAACTCGTGTTCCAGACTTATCGACTATGCCAGGAATGTGTACTATTATTATATTGTATGTGTAGTGTATGTAGTACATACACTACGCACAACCGAATTGCGTGGTACAGAAGGTTGATGGAATCCTCCACAGCTACCACCACGACGCATATATACATACATACATAGTATACCCATGTGTGTCGCGACGATGTTGAGGGAATGAAAATAGTGTGGATGGTGAGTTGTGACCCTATATAGTGTGAAATGATGCACTACGAAGGATGGACAGAATGAGCTGGCGTTTCATGGACCAGTGTTAAATGCAGCTCTATGCCAACATTTGTTCATTGTCGACACAGTGTGAAACTAAAAGTCTCCATGCTGGGAACTAACTGCCTCTGGATAATGGACTATATACTATAAATAAATAAATAGATATTATGAATTTCCTTCAAATTTCCCAATTCTGCACGATTCGTAGAAAAATCCGATCACGAATCTCGCTGCAGACATTTCATTGGCTTTCTTGATCACGTAATAAAACGACAAACTATTGTAGCCAATCAGCGACAAGCTTTTTCAGAATGGCCAATGGGAGCGAGCGAGGGATTCGTGATCGGTCGATTGAACGCAGCCGGAAATTCGTACCAAATCAACAATATATAGTATATATATAACACGCTGACAGGATTATTTATTATCGAAAAATGGATGGATTACTTGACAAGAGGCTGGTTTCTAGTCGTTGTGCTCGTGGGCTGGTTGCTTGTCGCCTATATTAAATGTTGTATTATGGTATGTATATCTTGATATATTGTCTTTCTTACCTTCTTGTTCCTGCTCGTCTTCGTGTCGACGTGACGTATCCACAGGGTAAATCCACCGTTGATACAAGTAGATGAAGAAAATGATGTCGTCGCGAAAGCAGCTGCGTACGTACATACGACATAAAAAGAGTCACGAGACGCCTCGGCCACGAGTTTACCTGATGCGGTGCATCGTGGGCATGTGAATCACAAACGCAAACAGGTCATCGATGAACGTGTTCAGTGCACTATATTTAATTATATATATACGATGAGTTGTCAAGGTATATATATATATATATATATCATGGTGTCAAGTCGAATACATAACGCCAAACTCGACAAGGTCAGTACCGATAAATCAAAAACCGCCAAGGCAAGTGCGCCACGCTTTTCAGTCGATAGTTGAGGTACAACCTACACAAATCCACATATAAATTTATTATGTTCAAGCCATCCATTGGGGTTCTCTTGGTTGTACTGTGGGGTCATCATGATAAAGCCTACAACAATCGTGAGCGAACGGTGAATCATAATATATATATATATATCATCCATTGACATATATATATCATTCGAGTTCAAACGTACCGAAAGCATACACACTGCCAGTGAGGCTGCCCAAAATCCAGCTGTAGAAACTCGTGTGGTCTACAAATAGCCGTCAAACTTGTAGTCTTATATGACTTCGACGGTTCTTTTACCTTTGTGAAGCAAAGAATACACGGAATACCCCACCAGCATCGGATACAATGTATACCCCATGTACGTCATGGCAACTTTGTCGATATCATTGGACTACGAATATATATATATATATATACGTTGATGGCAATATTATGTGAGAATATAAATACCGCAGACGACATATCCGTCCTTGTAAACTCGATTTTCACCAGCGTCGTCCACGACAGCGATACCTTGGGCCGAGTGGCCCTCCCGAGTTTCCACAATTGAATTACAATCGAGATACCACTCGGCACGACAATCAGCAGCGTCGTATGTTGCTCGATCAAGTATAGGAATACCTACCCAAAATCATATATATATATATATATATATATATATATATATATATCATAGACGTACGATGGTCTGAGACACCAAGGACGACACCATGCTCCAAATAGAAATGCCAACCAAGCTCTCGTTTTTCTGCCAAAACGAAATATCGCTCTTAAACGCCAACCAGTCAAATAGAATGTGCAGCATCGACACGGCCATGGTCACGGTCAGTAAATACGGATTCGTCTCCGCAATCTAATAAATATATATATATATTAGTGACATACGAACTCCCGTCATCCTCGTACGATCATATCATAACATACCATCAAGCGCATGTTGTCGATTTCGTCTTCTCCAAATCTACATGCATGGATACATTTATATATATACTTCCATGGACAGTATATACATATATATATATATTTACCCCGTATACTTATAGATAAATATATATATTTATTTGCCTCGTATATACATATATATATTTACCCCAAGTCCTTTTGTTGTTTCAAGGCATTTTCAAACGTCATCATCATTTGCCACCTGGTATGGTTTTGTCAGATATGATTTCAGTGATAATATATAGAAATATTATAAAATAATATTACCGTGCATACGACATCGGTTCAAAGCTCAATTTGAGTGGTAGGGTCGACACGGAACGATTCAACGGAATGAGCTTCTCGCTTGTCATGCCCATCTCATCCACGTACAGCACTGGCATGTACTAATCAACCCAATCATCAGCGTATTATTTCCATTGATATATAAGCAAATATATATATATATATATCAAGAATCAACAAAGTGGTACGTATATTCACATAGTTGTTCATTGCGATGCTCGTACCTTCCAGCCTTCGTTTTCAATGTTCTCCATGCGAAGGTTGTTGAACACTAATTGCGGAATCTATACAATAAAAAATATATTTCATGTACTCTCAATAAAACATATATATAATACGAGACCTCTGCTAGTGGGAATTTCTTGAAACACGTGACGAATCGAACGGCCATGTCCTACAAATCCATCAATATATATATATATATTAATATATTTCGCCAACAAAGACTGACGGGCTTCCAGTACGACACGACGTCCGCAGAGAGTGCCGGGTCTTCCTCTGTCGCAGGACTCGGCGCGTCATCTGGAGGGCCGCCGTTCCAAAATGCATCCAGCAACCGCGTCGCATTTTGAACGTTGCGACGTGGGGCAAACTAAACGTATTCGTGCATGAGATACAGTTCTAGTATCTGCCTAGTAATACTAAAGGTACTACATTACAGTTTGGCACTTGTACCTTGGTCAGCGGGGTCACTTGATGCAGCGTCAGAAGCTTGTGGTAGTTGGGTTTGTTTGGATTCGGCGACGCGCCACGTTGCGTGAGATGCACATGCAGGTACACGGTTTCTGCCAGAAGTTTTCATCATGTTCGCCCATGGATTCGTTGGGGATAGTACATACCGTTGTGGCGAAGGCGGGACCACATGTGTGCGTTCAAGGACGTGGTGTCGTTGGCCGAGCTGGAAATGTTAAACTCGATGGCCTCGGCGTTGGTGTTGGAATCGAACGACAGGTCGTTGAAGTGTCCCATAAACGACACGCGCGAGCTGGTGAAGTCCGACGCCACCTAGGGTACACGCACGGCGTCCTTGAGTGTATGGTGCATGCGATCAAAACAGAGGTGGGGGGATGTACCCAGTTGGGCCGCGGGGATATGTAGCACTCGCCGTCCATGACTTGCCCTTCCTGGTGACATCGATCAGCATGTGAAACAACAAACACACGATCGTGTACCAACCTTCCACAGTGGACCGAGGAACAAGTCGCCTGGATTCAAGTCCCACGTGGGAAACATGATGCCGTAGATCTAGTACACAGTACACCCATCATCAGCATCGCACAACACTGCGCGAAGTATGAACGCACCTGGGACGCAGTAAAGGCAAAGTACGCCGCCTAATGGAGAGAGACGTTAGTATGCATCATGCGATGGAGAGGAGGTCGTACAAATACGGCGATGGACACGGACGTGACCGTGATCCACTTGAACGGGTTCCATGATGACGCTGCCATGATGTCCCGACAATGTTACGTGGACTACTAGTACTACTAGTAGTAAGCTTCCTATTAATACTACTACGTAGTACTGTACTACAGTAGTACAGTCTGTAAGGTACGAACGACAATAGTAGTACTAGTTGTACAGTTGATGTTCATGGCATGTTACCATCTTCGTGAGTCATTCGATGCTGGATCTACCTACCACGTCAGATGAGAAGATCCCACTGCTGCATGCAACTGTATCGATCAACACTATCCGCGCATTGTGTACGGATCCAAGTCTCCTGCGGGAGCTGCGCGAAATGGCGGCCCTGGCGCTGCCCGTGGTACGGTATCCTCCTCCTTCTCACCACTCTATCCCTTGCCAAGCGTTGTTGGCCTAGACTGCAACGTTCTTCTTCGAGTACGCCCCGGGCATTGTAACGCTCGTGTTAGCTGGTCATGCCGGCAACTCCGAAGACGCAGTGCAACTGTATCTGGACGCTGCAGCCATCGCCATCATGTACATGAACGTCACAGGCGTCACCATCGGCCTCGGGTTGGCCACAGCCATGGACACATTATGTCCTCAAGCTGTGGGGGAGGCATGTCCGTACAGACTGGCATGTACTTTCAAACAGGGCTCGTGGTGTTGGGGTAGTACATACCTCGTCGTATAACTCCTTTTCATCTGTGTTGTGGTGTAGACTTGTATGTGTTCCCATCGTCCTCGTCAATGCGTGGGCCACTGCGATCCTCGTAATGCTGGGCCAGTCGCACGACATTGCAGTGTTGGCAGGCGACTTGATCCGCATCATGGGACCCAGCCTGCCCTTCTTGTTTGGGTACGAGTTGCTGAAAAAGGTACTACTACTAGTACTGTACTACTAGTACTAATACTACTCGTAACACCAACGACCCACAGGTGCTCCAAGCCCAGCATGTCGTGCAGCCCATGCTGACCTGCGCCGCGATTGGCAACTGCGTGAATGCGGCGCTGGGGTATTTTCTGACATTTCACACAACCTGGGGGGTACATGGCGCCGCCGTCGCTCGGTCCGTGGCCAACGCGTGCCTGTTGTGGTCGTTGCTGGTATACTTGTACGTCCATCAAGCAAGTTGCTGGTCAGGTAAGTTGGCACTCCTCGACATGTCTTAAGAACGGATACATATATGTACAGGGTGGTGCTGGGCCGCCGCCGTGAAGCAAGTGCCGACGTTCGTAGCGCTGGGGACGTCTGGGTTGCTCATGATGTTGTTTGAATGGTGGAGTTTCGAGCTGCTCGTGTTCTTCGCCGGTACGTCGTCCGTGTCACAGGCACTACTAGCTAAGCCACGACCATCATCTCACGTAGGACTCGAATCGAACGCGGCCACCGCCATCGGCGCCAACGCGATCCAGGTCAACGTGACCAGCTGCATCTACATGGTGCACTTTGGGGTTGGCACGGCGGCGCAGATTCGAGTGGGAAACGCCCTGGGCGCTGGCTTTATCCACAACACCCGACAAACAGTCCAAAGCGCCGTGGTGCTCGGCGTGTCCATCGGCCTCGCCTTCGCCGCGCTGCTAGGCATGCGCTTCCGCTATTCTTCACGCAAGATGCAGATGTGATCCGACTCACGGCGTTCGTGACAGTCGCCATCTACCAAGTCGCCGATGCGCTCAACACGACCTTGCAAGGCGTACTCCGAGGCCTCGGGTTGCAACACATGGGTAATTTAGATCTGTCAATTGATATATATATATTTATTGATTTGGTACGAATTTCCAGACCACGCTCGATCACGAATATCGCTCGCTCCCATTGGTCATTCTGAAAATACTTGTCGCTGATTGGCTATATATTGTTTCTGTTTACTTGTGCATTCTGTAATTTCGTGGCGAGGTTTGTGGCAAAATGGGGAAATTTGTGGGCAAATTCATCTTTATTTGTCCAGGGGGCATTTCTAGTGCATACTTATATTTATAATATTGATATATGTCCTAAACCATTTTTTAAAAATCATACAAAAACTGATATATATATATCAATGGGTAGGCACCGTGTTGAATTTTGTGGCGTATGTGGTCGTGGGCGTGCCGTTGGGCGTCCTGCTCGACTTCTACGCGGGGTGGGGACTCCTTGGGCTGTGGGTTGGCATGGCGGTGGTCTTCTCCACGTCGGGGGTGTGCGGCGCCTGGGTAGTGTACACGTCCGGCTGGACCGCCCTCGCAAACCCAAAAATTTTAATTTATGTTTTTTAATACCTGGTTTTAGAAGAAGATTTAGATAAAGGTAGGTTTAGTTCAAAATGATATGAAAAAAATAATTGCGCCGCCGCCGGTCGCCTTGTCTCATAAATCAAATGGATGGACATGGTTCGCGCATGTTATATGGAAGTCGTGACCCTTCTTAACGAGTTTAGTGCTTATCTCAATCGTGTTGTGAGCTACGATTACAAAATTTAGACCTATCGAGCTAGCAATTCTCCACGGCAGCATCAAAGTACAGGATACACGCCTTCGTTCTCCATCTTGAAAAGAGTTGCCACAACGACGTTATGGCCACCAGCATGGACGTAACCAACAGCATAATCAACGGAAGCATGTTGACCAGATTCGACGACCCAACGGTCGGCAGCAATGCACCAACTGTCCAGGTCACGCCCACAGTGCACGCAACGAGGAGGACGAATGCAGTGGCGTACGTCATAGCTCTGCAACTAAATGCATGTCGCCGATCCCACGCAAGCCGCCTTCGCTGTACTAGTCGATACGCCGTTTTGCAAAGTTCACATGCCATGGCTTCGTGCATGGGGAGCTGCCTCGATAAGATCCATGCTTTGAGACCTGGAAGACTCCGTGAGATATGGATCAGTACATGAATGCCACAGATTCAGCGTACATTGCGTGTGGATCTTGCCAACTGATCCGATGCACTTGCACGCAGAAATCAGCATGTCATTCCGACCTACCGACATATGTAAGCCCAAAGAATGTACACTGGTCAGTGAACTGTACTGGTTTCGTGGCCGCGACAAATGCGGCAGCTCTGAGGACTCTTCAGCAACGGAAAGCCTAGATCTGGGTCGTCCATGGCGCCGTCGGACTGCCAAGTGCTCTGTGCATCCGAGCAATTGAAAATGTTCGTGCGGAAAAAAACTTCCCAATTGCCGTTGAAATTTAGAGAAAATTTCACACGAAATTAACGTATGGTAGTAATAATAGTAATAAGAATAAGTGAATCGGATCAGGTGTTCGCTCACGTGGTCGCCAGAAACCTCCTCCTTTGCATGTTCACTGGTGATTCACAGTTAACTTAGGAAGCGCACTTTTCTTAGAAATAAGGCAACCGTTTCATTGTATATATACATATATATCGTGGCGTGAATAGATATATCTTATTCATCGAGTTCTTTACTTGCAAAGTAGGCTATATTTTTGGTTTTTGGCTTCTATGAGGACAAGCCACGCACGCTATAATGCTGCAATCGCCACATTTCTAGCCTTGAAAGATACCTTACCTAGTACTTCGTAGTAGCCCGCAACTAACTCTGCAATAACAATAATATTCTCTGCACCGTTCGTAGACAAGCCGCCAGAGAAAATCGAAGTCATGCATTTTCTTCGATGATTACAGTAATAAGGCCGAGTCTGGATGCGACAGAAAATGTATGTCAAATAATATTCTGACAAAGAATTCCCATTTCAAATGGGACGTGAGAAAATATTAGCAAAATATTTTGATGTAACGCCAGATTTGGTAGCCAAACACACAAAAGCTGTCGTTTGAAAAATTGTCATAATATTTCTGAAAAGTTGCAAAACGAGGCGTCTTTTTACATTTTTTGTGTGTGGCAGCCAGAGTGGCCCTAACAAAGGCGATCATAAATTATGTTATGACTAACTTCGAGTCAATACTATATTACTCGGAGTATTGTGTTACTAGTACTACGTAAAAATTCTCAGCTTCAAATCCATTCAAACCACCGAAATTGAGCTGACGTCACTATTCAGGTAATCGCGACTTGTCGAAAGCCCAATCGAAAGTCCTCAGCCCCAAGTGTGTCTACTAGATGTGATAAGAGCTAGTGCGATCGAGCTGCATGGTATCCTGCCATTTCGTTTGACCTTCACCCTCCAGAGGGTAATTCAAAGCCAAAGTCATGTCCTTACTCAGATAGCTAACAAGTTGGTCATAAAACACGGCATAATTGAGGCAATATTGTTGTTGAATATTCTCACAATTTAATGTCAAATCCAATAAAACTACCGACCACGTTTGAGCTGAAGTCACCACTCCATGCATAGCGTCTTGTTGAAAGTCCTCAACCCCTCGTGCGTGTACAAGGTATACTATTTTCATTTACCCCAATATTTTTACTTTTGTGCTAACTCTGCCAAATCTATCGATCGATTCTTTCACTTTTGTATGTAAAGATCACACTAATGTTGAATTATTCGAAGAGTGAATTTGATTGGCTACTTGATTCGTGTTGTGGGTTTTGATTGGTCGTATATCGATTGTCTGCCGATGTATTTGGTGATTTTGGTCATTCGAGTGAGCCCCCAAACACTCCCATTTCGAATCGAATATCTTGACAATAACAGCTCGTGCGATCGAGTGACGTATTATGCTGCCAATTCGTTTCATGTTGCTATTTTGGGTTATTTCCCGCCCGATAGTATAAATATATAAATATGGCGTTGCACGTGGAACACATGGAAACTAACGTGTTGTTTGTACTAGATTTCCTAACGATTATCGAGCGTGCGCGCGAGATGCGCCAGTGCCCTCGTCATGGCATCCCGTTCGCTGGCTCGGAACGACTTGGTGCCGATGTTGGATAGCGCCCGCATGTCCGTGTCCTTGCTATCCGGCTCCAGTTCAATGAACGCCGCTTCGGGGTACTTGGCCCTATCGCCCATATATATTTCAAAGTCAACAAGGTTCAACATGCGACAAAGCATTGGGTACCGGATCTCGGCCTCCACCTCCTGCACCTCCTTCTCCACCAACCGTGTCACATCTTCGGCATACCACGCCAAGATGACTGGCAGTTCGCTCTCCAAGTCCGAGTCCAGAAACACTGGCTTGTACCTAGAACCATGCAAATCAATCATGTCCAGCATCATGTGATTAAATTGTATATGATGTTCGCATTACATTTCGAGGAGCTGGGCTGCCATGTATGTCCCATCAAAGTCCACTTCCGCCTAAAGGAATATATATATATATATATTGTCAAGACAAAGTGAAATACATTATATATAATATAAATTGTGGAAAGTACCTTGAAACTAAATGTGGACGGTCCAACCCACTGGGATTGCACGGCGTAAACGTTGTCAATCGATGGCCTTGACAACAGCAACGCCTTGATCCCTTGTTCGACCTCTATGATGATATATATATCCGATATATATTCAGAAACATGGCTTGCCTATATATTATACATGTATATATATATATACATGTATATATAGCGAACCAATTAAACATTATTCGCGCCGCTTCATTGCCAACAAATAAATTCTCCAACTCAGCCAGGAAACAGATGTATATATGTATATATCATAAATATATATATCGCAACCCAGGCGTCGACATCCACCAAACTGATGGCACACGCGATAGTACATCGTTGGTCCATAAATAGATATATATAATATCGAAATCAACCATCGGAATCAATTCAACCAAACACACATTGCCAAATCGATTCGAAACTGGAGTCCTGAGCAGAATCGAATGTCTTAAGAGAATAAGGATTAAAGAACCGCCTAGTAGCCAATCCAATCACGTCTTATCGAATTTCTGCCAATCCAACAAACTTCGGCCCAGTCGTATCGGGCAAATCAGGTATACTACATGTTGTATAGTATAGTTTGTACAAGCTTAAATTTGATCTAAAAATCGATTCGAAAGCAATTGGGCGAAATGAAGCATCAAAAGTCCAAACTTGGGTGAAAACCACAGCAAAGAAACATATAAATGTACCAGGGTCGACAGATTGGCCCAAGAGGAACCGCTGGTTCATTCGAATGAGAGACACCGCGACGCCGCCAAGAAGGAAGCCGATGCCGATGCTCGCGGCGCTATCCCACACGGGGTTGCCTGTCACGTAGCTGGCGCCGATGCCAGCTAAGGCGATGAGCACCCCCGTGCACGCCGCCGAGTCTTCGAGCACCACCGCGAGCATGAACGGGTCCTTGATGTCGGTGATGTGCTGGTACAGGGACACGCCTTTGGGTTTGGTTTGCATGAGCTCGCCCAGACATCGCTGCAGGACGTAGCCGTCGATGCAGAACGACATCCCAAGCACAGTCCACACTTCCCACGTCAGCACCAGCTCCTCTGCGGTCGGCGGGTTGACCAGCGTTTGGATGCCTACAGAATAATGCAGATAATAACGTGACCGATCATAGATGGGCGTTCAGTTTCGACTAAATTTGTGTTGCTATTTCGTTTCGTTTCGTGAATATAGTATAGGGTTTTGGATACGTAACGAACGATTCAAATGTTTAGAACAACCCCAAAAAGTATCGATTTAAACGGTTTATGATTGCACAATGCATCATGTTTGAAGTTGACGCTTTGGAGACCATTGATGGGCCGACTTTTACACTTGCGTGAAGTATTGAAAACGTACATTTCAACCAAAAAAGACGATATTTTTTTTTTAAATTAAAAAAGAAAAATAAATTAAAAATTCAATTAATTAAAAAAAAAAATTCTAAAAAAAGAAAAACAAAATTTACTTTTGACAATGTAAAGTTACCATGTCAAACAGATATCATGTAAAATAGTAGTAATTTTAAACACCAGGATGGAGATACTTTTCATGCATTCATACAGGTATATGTTCTATAGAGGTTGGGTTTTAGCCAATGAAAATGGATTAAGGTTTTGATTGGATGACAATCAATAGTCGGTCACGTTAAGTCCAAGGGAAGCAACTAATATATGGTGGATTCGGTACAAATTTTGCATCCAATCGACAAATCAATTAGAGCGCTTTTAGATGGGGTATTTTTCAGACAAAAATATTGCATTTCGAGCGTGATTAGCAAACCACGCGAAGTTTGGAAGTGTATAGCGTTATATTTAACATGAATTTGCTACATCGCGATTCGGAGAACCAGTCACAAAGCTCGCTGCGAAATTTCATTGGCTTTCCCGATTCCGCAGAAAGAAAGAAGTCAAAAGAAAAAATAATGTAGCCAATCAGCGACAAGCATTTTCAGATTTTGACCAATCGAAGCGATTCGTGATCGGTTTGTCGGCATGATTCTATTGAACGGGATCCGGGAATGCGTATCAAATCAATAATATATATATATACAAAATGAATAAAAATAGAGAAATAGAGAGGGTGCGTACCGTGGGTGACGGTAGCACCGGCGCCGAGCCAAAAGATCCCGAGCGCCGAAATCAGCGACCAAAAGTACGCCGCGCGACCGTATCCGTACTGATGCTTCTTATCCGGTTGGAACGAGGCTTGTCGCAGCCCGAGGATGAGGAGCCCTTGGTTGCCAGTGTCCACGAGGGAGTGGATGGCCTCGCTGAGCATGGCGCTGGACCCGGTCTTGAGGTATGCCGCCAGCTTGAGTGCCGTGATCAACGTATTGCCTGCCATGGCGCGGAACACCATGTCCTGGGAGGTCGCCTTGAAGGCTTGTCCAGGGTAATAAGTTTGGTTGACGTCTTCCAGTTTGCGAAGGCGGCCGCCTACACACGCAGCACCGTGATTGTATGCGCTGGAAGTGTGGTGTGTCGGTTGGTACCTGTGATCATGTCGACAAGCCCACCGCCTTCCTTCTTGCCTCTATCTCCACCTTCATCGACCTTTTTGCTTTGAGCTAAGATCTTGCGCATGATGCTCTCCACTTCCTCTTGTTCGCGCTCGTCGTCGTCCGCGGTTTGGTTTTGATCGGACGAGACACTGCTCCAACATCGAAATCGACCACGAGGCCACTGCTTAGGCAGCATCCTCAGGCGCGTCATTGTCATATTCACATGCGATGCTTGAAGACATCTCGTTTGAAGAGCCGCATGCCGCCCATGGACACCCACGGTCGCGACGCCCTTCCGCAGAGATGACCACATAACGCACGACACCAAGGTACTTCCATCCAATCACGCTGCGGGATATCCGGATAATGTCATAGTTATCCGGAGTACGTACGGCATGGTAAAATATGGCTCGTACATGCTGCCTGGTGTGACGAGCAGCTTCTCGAGAGAGTACACCATGAGCGAGCGCTTATCGCTTGGTAGCTATGAAGGGTACCCCCCGTAGCCTTCATAGCACTGCATCCAGCAAGCTATACGCGCTCGCTAGCAGTGACCTCGAGCCATCGTGACCGCCATCTTGTAGCCATCAGCTACCGGCGCACGAAACCCCGCAGCTCACGGACATGTTTGTTTGCGACGCCCGCCCAGGCATCGTTACCATGGCGATTGTGTGCGACATGACCTTCCTACACAATTTCGGTTTTATTTGCGCGTCTATTTCTGGGCTTCAACTCGGTTTTGGGAAAACGACATCCCGAAAGGTCTAGGTGGGCGCGCGATAGATTGATTGCCGTGTCCATCTCGTCGATGGCCAAGTCGATCATTGTCCCATCCAACGAACGACAGCATGACGGCAGCGTCGACTCGGACGCTGCCGCCAAGGCATTGGGCCATCCCACCGGCGCCAGCACGTGTCGGCACTTTGGCGTCGGGTTGTCCACGCCGCCGCCCGACACGTCGTTCGCCCCGAATCGTATCTCCACGTCCATCTACACGCCGTACAACTTTCTCTTCAAGAACCTCTTCAAGCAGTTTGCGCGGCTGTCCAACATGTACTTCCTCTTCATCACGGTGCTCCAAGTGATTCCGCAGGTGACGCTGTCGGGGGGGTACCCCACGACAATCGTGCCGCTTGTGTTTGTCCTGTTTGTGAACGCGATCAAAGATCTCATCGAGGACATCCACCGCCACAACGCCGACACTGTCCAGAATAGCTCGAAAACGCTTCAAGTAAACAGCGATTCCCTCTACACCACTACTTAGATGTAGACGAGCGAATGCATGCATACTTATCGGAGGGCGCATGTAGATGCAAGACGGAGATGCCAAGCCCGCGTTTGTGGCCACGACGTGGGCCGATCTGCATGTAGGCAGCATCGTCAAGGTGCACCAGAACGAGATCATCCCGGCCGACATGATCATCTTGGCATCGAGCAGCCCCATCGGGCAGTGCTTCACCATGACTGCCAACTTGGACGGCGAGACGAATCTCAAGATCCGGTGGGTGCCGTCGCAGCTGGCGTCGCCAGACAACCCCATGACCGCCGACGCCGACATTTGGGCCAAGGTTGGTCGTGACATTCAACCCAAACAACAAACCATCGATGGAAAAAACATGTGTGACGTAGATGCACGGCGCGCACGTGGAAGCGGAAGAGCCGAGCCGGAGACTCGACCGCTTCAAGGCCACGTTGACCACCTGCGACAATGTCAAGGTCAGCATCGGCATCTCCAACTTGTTGCTGCGGGGCGTACTGCTGCGGGACACGGACTGGGCAGTCGGCGTCACGGTACAGCACGCCACCAGATATTTTGTTTATTCTACACGTCCGAGCGATGGTTGTTTGTTCATTAGGTGTACACGGGCGACGACACTAAAATCCAGCAAAACTCCGGCGAGACTCCATTCAAGTCGAGCTCACTGTCTAAAATGACCAATATCATGACGTACCAGATCATCGTGCTGCAGGTGGTGCTGCAGATCGTCGCCGTGGTCGTGGAGGCCCTCGGCCCAGACTTGCCCTACAGCCCGCGCAACAGCCAGAGCATGCTGAATGCATTTTGGCTGTTTCTGACGTACATGCTGCTATTTTCCAACTTTGTGCCGATATCGCTGCAAGTGACAGTCGACATTACGCGGTTCGTCCAGTCGATCTTGCTTTGTTTGGACACGGAGATGGCGCTAGGTGGTGTCGGCGTCACGGTATACCCCTACTGCCCTTCTTATATATACACACATTACTTCTACTCGACCAAGTACTACATCTCTCTCAACCTGTCCTTGTCTTGGTGTCAGGTTCGGTGTTCCGACTTGAACGAAGACTTGGGCGTGATCCAGCACATCTTTACTGACAAAACGGGCACATTAACGTGCAATAACATGGAGTTTCGAAAGTGCGCGATCGACGGCGTATCGTTTGGCAACGTCGCGGCGCCCCCAAGCGCCCCTCGGGGGTCGTACCTCCCGCCGTCAACTTCCAACAACTACCGGCTGCGGTCGATTCTCCCCTTTCCCAAGCGCACCATGGACATGGTGTCGCCCCGCGGCCACCTCACGCACGTGAATATTGTCGACAAAGCTCTCCAACAAAAAGTATATACCCCCTAAAAGACCTAGTTCGAACTAGTGGCATATATATAATATATCCACAACGGATGATTGTAGGTCGTGGACGAGCGACATCCGAGGTTTGTGCAGTTTTTCGTCAACTTGGCCGTCAATAGCGCCGTGGTGCCGATCGTGGACGCTGCCACAGGCCGCCTCGTCTACTCGGCCATCTCCCCGGACGAAGAAGCGTTGGTGTGTGCCGCCAAACACTTCGATGTGACTCTGCTCCGGCATGACTCGACGTCGGTTGCCGTGAGCCGATTCGGCGATACCGTGCTCTTCGACGTGCTGCACATGTTTGAGTTTTCCAGCGAGCGCAAGAAAAGCTCCATGATTGTGCGTGAACGAGGGGGCTCTGCCGGGGTGATTTTGTTTTGCAAGGGCGCCGACACGGTTGTGTTTCCAGCTCTGAGGTCGCCAGTGGACGCAGAGGTACGTACAGTAGCTACATCTACTGTTTCAGGCAGGTGATGGCTCCTCCTCCTCATGATATGTTGGTGTATATCAGGAGGACGAAAGGTACACTGCGATGAAGCAGCACCTTGTCACTTATGCGGCCGAGGGGCTGCGGGTGCTGTGTGTGGCACAGAGAGAGCTCTCGGACGACGTATATGAAGCCTGGAATGCCAAGTACTTGGCCGCCAAGACCGCGTCCGACACGACTGAAGACGACCTGGACGCGATTGTGCGAGACATTGAAACGCAGTTGGATCTTGTCGGGATCACTGGTACAACACTACTCGTCATGACTTACTCTGCCTGGAAACAATCAGTTTGAACTGACTTGGGCAATGTATATGTATGTAGGCATTGAAGATAGGTTGCAGGACGGAGTGGCGGACGCGCTGCAGTGCTTCCGTCTCGCCGGAATCAAAGTGTGGATGCTCACGGGTGATCGACCCGACACGGCTGTGAATATTGGCCACGCCACGCAACTCATTTCGAATGACATGCAAGTGGTGCAAATCTCCACCAAAGGTACGGCCTTTATTGTTATCGATATATATATATATATATATATATATATATATATACATTGATTCATTTGATCGCATACTGTATATATATATATATATATATATATATATATATTGTGGATTCGGTACAAATTTCTAGACCCCGTCGAATCGAATCTCGCCTCTGAATCGATGCTATTGGCTAATTCAATTTTGTTTGGATTTGATTGGCTCTTACAGTATAGTCAACCAATCAGAACCCCAGCGTGATTCAATCTTGAATAGACAACCCACGCGCATTTTGGAACTTTATAGCGAATTCACAATATATCACATATCAGTTTCAACGATATATCCATGACACGTCCAAGTGATGTATATATATTATCATTTTCAACCACAACAATAATATCCACGTGTAGAGCTGAGTGACCTCCGACCTGGTGGTGGTGGTAATACGCCGTCGGCGTTGGTGGGTCAACTGTTGCAGGCGATCATCGATGCCCCCAAAGACCACAGGACGCCCCCGACGGCGCTCATTCTGGACGATTCGGCTCTTGAACTGATCGTGGGGCTGGATTCGCTGCAAAGCCTACTCATCCAAGCGAGCAATCGGTAGTAGCTCGTCCATTCGCTTTGTTATTGTCTTTCTTTTACCCAAAATGTGGACTTTTGTGCTGCTGAATCGCCAAATCCATCGATCGACATCGACTTTGTACTGACTTTTCTATGTAAAAACGAGTTTGGTGTCACACTAATTGAAGTCACACACTAATTTCACGTTGATAGTTGTTTCCTGCAATCTGATTGGCATATCAATCCTTCCCTCTGCCGATGATTCTTCTGTGCATTTAATTTGGTTGTGTCGATTCATTCTCCATGTCGCTCCAGTTTAGAAGAAACACAACAAATATATATATATATGATGCTATGTACATACATAGATGCAAGAGTGTCTTGTGTTGCCGGGTATCCCCCAAGCAAAAAGAGTTTATTGTCGACCTCGTGCGGCGGAAGACGGGCGTGATGACGCTGGCGGTGGGGGACGGTGCGAACGACGTGCCGATGATCCAGAGGGTACATGATGATTCATTGTGCATTTACCTACCTACGTACCTACCTACCACTCTCTCACACTTTTGTAACACTAGGCACATGTTGGTGTGGGGATTATGGGGGCCGAGGGGCAGCAAGCTGCGAACGCGAGCGATTACTCGATCCCAGAGTTCCAAAGTCTCAAGAGGCTGCTGCTCGTGCACGGGCGATGGATGAATCGGCGCATGTCCATCTTGACGCTGTACATGTTTTACAAGAACGTGCTGCTGGTGCTGCCGCAGTTCTTCTTCGGGTACTACTGCTCGTTCTCGGGCCAGTCGACGTACTACGACTCGCTGTACCAGCTGTACAATGTGTGCTTTACAGCGTTGCCCGTGTTTTTGTTCTCCGTGTCCGACCAACACGTGAGCGCCCCCATGAGTTTGCAGTACCCGTCTTTGTACGCCAGCCAGTCGTTTGGGAGCATTCGTTGGTTCTGGCTCTGGATCCTCGACGCGTGCATTTCGTCACTCGTGATCTTGTTCATTCCACTGGCGGTGCTCGGCCACGGCCCGTCCAGCATCCACGGGTTCGATCAGGGGCTGTGGGACGTCGGGCTCGTCATGAACGGCGCCGTGGTCGTGGTGGCCAACCTGCGGCTCGCGTTGGAGTCCAAGTGCTGGTTCTGGTTTATTCCCGTGGGCTTTGCATCCAGTCTCGGGCTCTGGTCGGCGTCAGCGTACGCGTTTTCAAGCTTGCTCTCGTTCGGGGGCGAGCTCTACGCCGTGCTCGGGGTCGTGGCCAATCTGTCGATTTTATTTATGCTCGTGCTCGTGTGCGTGCTGTGCTGCTTTGGCGCGTACGGCCTCCAGGCGTACCACACGACGTTTGCACCCCATCCGACGGACATTTGCCACGAAATCGACGTCTGGGGCCTCGACCCGACGCTGCCGTCGTCCCCCGTCGTCATCGTCAGCGACGGCCGCGTCCACCCCAAGCAACCACACGAGTGAATGCAAGTGCCGACAGAAGAGTGCACCTCCCCCCGTCGCGCCTTCGCGAGATTTCTCTTTGCCCCCCCCCCATGCACCGGTATACGTGTGTGACAATGCGACTGCTGCCTCTGGTTGTTTGGCTGGTTTTGTGTCGACGCGAGCGTAAAACTGTGGCGTGTTCTCCTGTTACAGTAACAGCGGTGTATAACAGCGCCGTGTGCTTCCGATGTTACTATGTGTTGTCCCGAGGCAAAATGCAGTTATGTCAGTATTATAACAGTCGCCCCAATGTTAGAAACCACATCACAGAAACAGTATAGTTATAACCACATCACAGACACAGTATAGTTTATATCTGTCACAGCGAGCAGGGAAGAAACCAAGAAGGGGCTCATGTCGACCGACACTCACACTGCTTGTCGACGTCCACCAGCAAGCACCGAATAACGCAATACCTATACACGCTGCATCACGAGTCTCTTTACTACTGTATATAGATAGATAGATTTGCACTGGCCACGCTTTACTGTAGACGGACGAATGGAGCGCAGCCACGGGCAAGTATCAAAACCTCCTTACTTATTCCTTCCCGTTCCCCGACTAACCACCATTTACGAATAAATCATGTGCGAGTTATCACTTATTTGGCAGGTAGGCATCCAGGGCCTTCTGACGTAGTCCGTCAGATGGACAACACTCACGAATCTCTCACCACTTAAAAGGTTATATTCGATGCATGACAGGTACCCACCTACCTACGTACGTACTCTGCTACGCGCGGAATGATGAACTACCTAATGCGACGATGAGGGGTGGTGTGATTTGTAGCACTGAGACAGGTCAACAAGAAGCAACCGATATATTTCCCGTTGGTTTTGGTTTGCCAATTTCCTTTTCCGAAGTACGACTGTAGAACAGCGAGTGAGCAAGCACTGTTCCCCAATATAAACCTCGGTGGTTCCTACTCTACTACCGACACAAATGTGCAGACAACCAGGGGGTGCTCGGGACAACATTTCTGCTGCCGCGGATACCTTCCACGATTCCGAACGGATACCTGGTGGCGTCACGATTGCTCTCCCAAAGAAACGGCCTGACTGACCACCGCACTGGGTCTGTAAGAATTTGACACTTTGGTTGGCCACAAACATGCAAACATAAGCTCAGGTAATGAGATTCCACTGAAAGTCTCTTCAACGTACATGCCAACTACGGCATGCGCTGCAGATGTCCCTATTCAGGTTCGTCATTGCTTACTACATACAAATACATCACTAACTCAACTATCTGGTGTGGGTTCTCAGCGATCTTGGTGATTTAAGTGTCGTCATTGATTATCAAGAGTAGCAAATATTTTTGTACATCCTTGAACCCAGCACAACAGAACACGTAATATATATATACACACAGCTCAAGTCAAGAATCTCATCATACAAATGCCTCGAAATGCTCTTCACTTTGTGAACGGCGCCAACACCCAAACCCAGCAGAACGCTAGGCAAGGAAAGTCAACGCCATTCCTCAGATTCGTCATCTAAGTTTGTAATCATATGAGAGGTTGGTCCGTCAAATGTAGTCGTTGATGGTCACTGCGGCTCAAGTGGGAAAATGCAAAGTGAATTGATCTCAAAACAGTGCGATTGATCCCACCACAGCAGCCACTCGTTCCAATTGTTCCAGATGTCATGGCATGACTATGGGTGATGACAGGGTATAGCAAAACAGAGTTACAAATGGTGTATAATACTAACACATTAATCCATCTTCTTGAAAATGTCCAAGTTTATCGATAAACAGAGTTTCATCAATAGTCTCTTTAAATAGATATAATATCAACTTACAAGAGATCATGGTCAACTCCACCAATCATTCGAAGCACGTGGTGTGGTTGGACAGCTATAAATACTTGATGACATTTCAGAGCTGTGAGAGTACTTTCAAGCATTGAAGCCTCGATTCACTGGCTGTGGCAGCAGATCTCGGCTAACAAGTTGGATTCACTGGGTGCTGAAACATAGATCTCGGCCACCAAGCCAACAAGTTCACTGATTGCTGTAGAGCAGGATAACAACTTTGGATGCATTGATTGCTGTAGCCTCGCAGCACTGGTCTGGCCATCTCGACTGTGTAGCCAAATAGTTTGGCTGAGTTGGGAATGATATCCACACAACTATTAAGAGTGACGAAGGCACTACAGTACTGCGCAGTAGTGTCAACATTGGTGACCATTGGAATCGGTATATCATTACTAGTGTAGTAAATGTAAACATGTAAAATACACTCGAGGCTGTCAAAAGCATTGCAGTGTGTACGCGCAGTACTGTATGCCACTCGTTCGTCGAACTGCAGTCCTTGAATGGACGTACTTCGTTACGCCTTCATCGTGTCGTGCTTCTACGCGCACAACGCAAGGGCAACCAGCAGAAGCACTCCGACGTGCGCCATAGACTGTGCAGCGTCGTTTTGATCGCTCCCACTCGCGGTAGAGCTTCCGCTACTTCCTCCAGAGGATGATCGTGTCGCCTTTTCCAGCGCCGGGAACGACGGCGTGCCAGCTGGACGCTTGATGCAGTCGCTGGCCTCGACGGTGCAAACTTCGCACAGCTGCGCGAGCAGTTTTCGTCGGCATCCAAACTTGGCCGAGGAGCAGAGCGGACTATTCACATAACAGGGGGGGTTGGTCGCTGCGAGGGTCGCTACGTCTGGAAAGGCTTTCATGTTGGCGCCTTTGACGGGGTCAGCAACCTGGGTGCCATAGTATTGGATCATCTTTTGGCTGCGGGCAGTGTTGGCCGACCGATCGGTGGGATTCTCCCAGAATGGCAAGCTTTGACCGGTTTGGGAGCTGTATTCGATGCCGCCGTCTTGGCAGAACGCGTACCGGTTGGGGTATTTCTCTCCTGCCGACGACGTCATGCTCGTGATGCCCACGAGGTCGTCGATGTTGACATATCCGAGCAAGTTGTACGAGAATGTGCACGCAACTCCGTCTGGAACGACGCCAAGCGGACACAGGCCGCCCTTGAGTTGCGCCCGGCACGCGTCTGACTTTGCCCCAAACGGCTTAGTGAAGCACGAATTCGGGAACGAAAACCACACGTTGTTGTCGTACGGTGCTTTGGGGTTGTCCAGCCGGTTCTCGCCGCCCACACAAGGCCCAATGTTGGGCTGTCCATTGCCACCAAAGTACTGCAAGCACTCCTTGGGCAGCGTCGTGCCAGCCGTTGGAGTGCACATGCCGTTGTCCATGGCCACAAACTGGCAGTATTCGGGGTAAATGGCCGTGTTGGAGCCGTATTCAGCGATGCCGTACGTTGGCTGGACAATTGTGATGTCGTAAAACCACACGTAACTCATGTTGCTCTTGCGGGAACAGCCAGGTACGATGGCCTGGTCGATGCCTTCCGATTGCACGTACATTAGCGCGCCTTCGACGCTCGCCGTGTTGACCGTATCCAGCGACGCCACGTACTTCTCGTTGAATGTGTTTGTTCCAGTCTTGAAAACGGCCACCCACACATTGTTGTCGGTATCCCACACGGGCGGGTCCGATTGCACGCGAGCTTGGATCGACCGGACGGGGGTCATCTTCCATGTATTCTCCGCCATCACTGCAGTCACGACAGATGCGGCGACGAACGCGAAAAGATGGCCGAGCATCATGGGGTCAACGCTCGCTTGATGTGTGTTGGGGACTCGAAAGGTCTCACAGTGGCGGTTCACACTCGGCGGGAGTTTCAAACCTTCTTTAGTAACCTACATTCTGAACCAATCAAATCACGCCGAGGGTATAAATACCCAGCGTCACGGATGCTACCTAATATTTTAATATTAATACTATTGAAATAGTATTAATATATTTCTTACTAGTACTAGTATAATACTACTAAACAGTACTACTACACTACTACGTACTACTTCGAAGTAGTAAGTTACTTAGTACGAAGTAGTAGACAAAAGTACACTGAGTACTGTAGTAGCGTTAGTATTACTAACTATATTAATGCTTGTAATCTTACCAGTATTATCGTACTAACAGTAAGTACAGTACTTCCCTTTATCTGGGTATTTACGAAACAAACTACGAAACACACCTACTACTAGTAGTACTAGAGTATCATGTGGTGAAATTATGCAAGTGCCAGACCAAGCTGAGCTTGAGACTTACTCCGAGTACGACGTTGCTACGGTGGAAGACCATGTACAGCCTGCCAACAATCCGGTACACCCAGTAGCAATCACAGGCACGCTTCGCTCATACTAAGCAGTTCGGTGTTGGCACGACCCGAGACAATCAACTAATCCAACTGCATCAACTTCGATGTTGGTGACCCCAGGGACACGTCACTTAGCTCCAATCGAATATAGTGTTAAATGCACTTCGCTACTGTACAGCTACAGTGCAACTTCATAATCATGATGTTTGTACTGCCAAGACGTCGACCGCCATGTAAATGAGGCACTGCATGCCGCGCACCTCGAGTGGCGCCATAACTTAATAATATTGTTGATGTGCTAAGAGGTCAAATATTGTTGTTGTCATAAGAGGTCCCAGTGCACGCGGAGGTGAAGTCCTTAGTCTTGAACACCGACTTTGTGAACAATACCGCAAAGTATCTCTCCATCTAACGACTGTACTGCCTTGCGACTGCCGTTATTCTAACTAAACGAACGCAAGAGCAAAACAGTTAGTCTAACATGTGCATCACGTTGACTTTCCAGTAACTAGTTATTGTACGGAGTGTGAAGAGTCCGCCGGGATGCACAGCGTCGGGTCCAGCATACAGTCATGTTGCTGGGTCTCGAAGGTCCGCGCAGTGTCAAGGACGACCATCTGTCCTGGCAGGAGTTCCCGCACATTTCCTCGCGTCGCGGACTTGCGCAGCACCAGATCCGCCTGGCGCTGCACCGCTTTGGTCAGCGAGGACGGCGCCAACGTCAAGTTGGCGAGCCCGACCAGGCGATTCGGGACCACTTGGCCATCTTGAAGTGCTAGTCGAGCATTTCCATGAACGAAAACCAACGTACCGCCGCTGTTATGCTGGTTGTACCACCACTTCTATGCTGGTGGAGGAGGTTCGTGTAGCAGCGTCTGTGCTATTGTTGCCTATGGTGGGGCGTGTTGATATCTGTCCACAGTAAATTACGTAGTACTTACTAATAGTATGCATGTTTCGTGATTGTTTCGTAAATCACCATATATCTAAGATACAAGCAATCGGATACAAATTTCAAGATAGCAGGAATTAGATACAAGTGATTTACGAAACAAAAACGTTTTGTGATTGCTAGTAGTCTGGTGTATTTTGTTTCGTGTTTGTTTCGTAAATCGTGTATACTTCAGTATTAATATACACGTACTAGTAGTAGTACTAATCACCTTCAAACGCGTCAGAAACACGTTCCAGAATAGGAAATTAATCAGAATGTTGGTATTGCTTATCCTTCGGCAATCTTCCCAGTATAGGCTGTATACAAGGAACGACTTCGTCAACAAATCCTGGGGTATGTGCAGTTAGTTATGTACTTATACTAGGATGGTCAAGGCCATGATAACAAACGTGACGACGCCAACAACCGTGGAGGATGCAGCCCCAGCGGTACCCGGCGGTGCAGGCTTTCCGTTGGCCAATGTGGGCCTGGGCGGCGAGAACTGTTTGACGAGTGTCGGGAAAGGAGCGGCGTTCGACGGCTTCTTGACACATTCAGGGCTGTCGACGGTGCATAATTCGCACACTTGCGCAAGCAGGCGACGTCTGCAGCCAAGGGCGTTTTGAGAGCACAAAATGTTGTTCACGTAGCACGGCGGATTCGCGGCGGTGAGGTCCGTGACGTTGGGGAACGGCTTGAAGTTGGCCGCGACGCCCTTGCCGGCGGTCACAGTGTCAGAGTACAGCGTCATCATCTTCTTGGTGCGTTCCGCGTTGGCCGTCACGTTCAACGGGTCGTTCCAGAACGTCAAGTTGGAAAAGCTCGTGTCAAAGTTGTACTCAATGCCACCGGCCTTGCAAAACTGGACACGGTCCGTGAAGTTTTGGGTCGGGGAGCCGGGGACGGGCAAGCTCGTGATGCCGACCAAGTCGTCGATGCTCACGTAGCCCAACACGTCGAACGAGTACGTGCACGTGACACCGTCGGGCGCCACACCCTTGGGGCACAATCCGCCCTTCATCGCCGGATCGTTGCGGCAAGTGGTCGACTTTTGGTCAAACGGCTTAATGAAACAAGGGCCTGGGAATGAAAACCACACGTTGTCGGCGTAGTTCCCTTTGGGGTGGGTCTTGCGAGGCTCCCCTCCAACGTACGGACCAAGGTTCGGGTTGTAGTTGAGGCCAGAAAACTGCAAGCATTGCTCTGGGATGGTGGTTTCCCGCAGGGTGCACATGCCGTTGTCCATGGCGACGAACGCACCGTATTCAGGAATGACGCCGCCGTCCGTGCCATACTCAGACACCGCAAAGTACGGCTGAACAATCGTAATGTCGTAAAACCAAATGTACGTCATGTTGGTCTTGCGCGAGCAAGCATTGTCTACGTCGAGGCCAATGCCTTCCGTTTGCACGTAGAACAACGCACCTTCGACACTAGCCGTGTTGACTGTGTCCAGCGACGCCTGCCATCGGAACGTCGGGTCAGGGCTGAGGTTCTTGAAGTTGGCAACGAATGCTTTCTGGTTTGCATCCCACACAGGCGGCGACGATTGGACACGAGCTTGGACCGAGCGAACCTTCTTCATGGACCACGCCACAGGGGTGGGGGGAGGGGTGAAGGTCGGAGAAGTGGATTGCGCGGCGGCAAAGCACGCGCCTCCAAGAAGAGCAAGCATACGAACCATCCTTGGGAAGACGTCTGGTCGGTGGCGACAAAGTCGAAATGGAAGGAGGCGATGCGACGACCGTGTGTTACAGAACCAATGTTTTGAAGGCAGAGATATCAATGTACCCCCATAATGTACGTACTACGTACTGTACGCTCGATCTCTTAACAAAGAACATGTCAAACGTACATTCCAAAACCGTACATTACTTAATGTACATGTTTGTACGATAAAAACCGCAACGGAGCAAACGTACTTTCAGAACAAGACGACGGGCAAAATTATTTTGACCCTCCGCGCGTAGTAGCGGGACACACTTAGCCGACAGGATTGTGTCCAGTCGCGTTCATGTTCGAGATGAGTGAGGAGGTAGAGAGAGGTGACACGTCCTATAGTTAGTTACTGGAATGGACTTCATAAGTTACTCGGAGTACAGTAGTTGGCAAGACATCGTACAGTGAAACGTTAGGACATAAGTTACTTAAGTACTACCGTACGTAGCGGATAGTAATGGATACAAGTGTTAAGTGTGTCACATTAGCGTTTTTCAAGCACAAGTAGGCCGCCTGGTCGCTGATTGGCTGACACTTGAAAAAAACGGTAAACAACACATACAAACCGCCTTTCAACGATTGCATACTCACTCGAAACCTTCAAGTGACGAACCTTGGGCACTCGTTCGAAGTACTACCAGTAGTACTGTACTCGAGTACTTCAAGTACAGTAACGTTAATATAGAAAAGCCCCTGGTCCCAATTAGAATAAACACCGATTCGAAGTACTATTGTGAATTCGCTATAAACTTCCAAAATTCGCCTGGTTTGTCGAATCAATATTGAATCACGCCGGAGTTCTGATTGGTTGAATATACTTGTCCTTTCTTCAAGAGCCAATCAAAGCCACTCAAAATTAGATTAGCCAATAGTATAATTTCAAATTCAAGCAATAATGGGTCCGGTACTAACTGTAAAAGTGCTCAAACATCCGGATAACAGCCACGCCGTCTTGCGGATGGGAAACGTTACAAAATGTGTTACCGGTGGTCGAATGATGCTATGTTACACAACATCAATCGACCGTGCATGAGGAGTGTACGACTTCAAGCTATGCCTGAACCATCTGCATGTAGTTCAGTGTTTATGGAGCAGCGATGCGGCGACGATGACTTCCCACCACCGGAATACCATGATGGCTATTACTTGGTCGTCGTGGCACAGCCAGCATGCATGCCTTCGTCTGCAGTATATTATGTCTACTCGTCCACAAGCACGTTCTTCTCGATAAAGTCGAGGAATCTGTCGCCGTATTGGTCGGGCGGCACACTCGAAATGTCCTTCTTGTTGTGCACGAGTCCTTTGAACACCGTTTCTGTGATCTTGCGTGTGTTGTATTGCTGCAGGATGTCAATGATGCCTAGGACACAGCCCATCAACCGACTTCCTAATTCTCGTGCCTTACCAACAAAGTAGATCTTCCCGTTCTTCTTGCGGGTGCTCAATCGACCTAGGACACCGCCAAAGTCCTTGCAAAAGATCGATCCGCCCGACGGCGACTTGGGCGTCGTGTCCAGCGTCCGCGGCGACCTGCATCATCGTCATCATCCATCGCATGCCTCTCGTTGTGGGTACTAGCCATGGATATATCTCAACATGTTGTACGTACAAGGGGGCGTCTGTGAATTCAACATCATCGTCCGAGTTGTCGTCGCTCGCGGTGTCGGAAATATGGGACGACATCGCCCCGAATTCGTGCAACTTGAGGTCGTTTAGAGTTTGCAGCGGCGACGACGCGGCACTGGGTTGTCGACTGTTCCTACCATACTCGTGTCATGCCAACGGCGGTGTGCGATGGGTTGATCTCGGCACGTTGATCAACGTACGGGACGGCCGAGGTCAGTTGAAGGAGCGGCGGCGTCGGATGCGTCGTGGGGGACAAGAGAATCTCTTGGCCCGAGTCGTGGATGCCAATCAGGAGACTGTAATCCATGATCTTCATGCGTTTGAGGAACGCCACGTCCTGCAGTCACAAACTCGCATCACGATCGCATCCCATGACACATGCAAGACGACAAATAGTGTAATAACGAACGAACGATAGGACGGACCCACGTACGTACGTACCTTGCGGAGTTGCTCAAGCATCATCGCGCGTTTCTCGGGGCCTAGGGACAAGTGGATGTGCTCGTCCACGAGGTCGTTGTCTTTGAGTACGCCGTTCTTGCTCTTCTCGTGGGGCGTAGCGTTGCGGCCGACTTTCGATCCTTTCAAGTCGAACCGCAGATGGATCTCCTTGGGCGTGTTGAACACACTCGCCATGATCACAAAGTGCATTTGCTTCTTCAGGTGGTGCATCTTGACGCGGTGCATGCCGTAGAACCGCGTCACGAGCGTGTTGGGGTTTTCCATGACAAACTACCCAGCGACTTGTCAACAAAGATACACACATGTTGATGTCGGGATACTTTGTAATAATGCGGCAGGATCCGGCGGAGAAACTTGGACTCGTCCTGCGTCTGCGTCTTAATCATGAACCGGCCGTCGTGCGAGTAAAAGAAGAACTGCCCCGACTTGGAGTTGGACATGAACTCGATGTAGTTGAAATCTCCGCACAGTGTGACCATGTAGTCCGCCTGCCCCAGAGTTCGCCATGAGTCTCGAGGTGTTGTGACTCCCTAGGTACAGAGAACTACCACGTAGTATGACTGTACGTACACTGTCAATGTCAAACCGGCGACGGATTTGGCGGAAAATGTCGGGCGAGTAGTCCTTCAGCAGCACCATCACATCCGTATGTGATTGGGATAGTTCGTTACCTTGAATTTGAACGAATGTGCGAGTTTCGACCGCAGGTTGGCGGGAAATTCCCTCTTGTCCACGCGCATAAAGTCGTTCATGGTCAGACGCTGCTTGAACATGTTTAAGCTGCCCGCCTGGAACACACATGAGATTCCCCAAGGACAGCAACATTTCATTCATACCGAGTTGAGGATGCCAGTCATCATGCCATACGTGAGCGTGTACTGCTCATGCTGGCCATCGATTTCGTTGCCGTCGGGCTTTTTGAATGTCAACTTGGACGTTTGCCGAATGCTACAACATGATCAACACACTTTCATACGAAGAAGCGAAGGGAAATGTGTACAGTACTTGTTTTTGCCGTCAAATTGATTGGTGATGTCGATGGCTTTGGCCGCAGGGGAACCTGGCTCTGCCACCACTAGAGTTTGCGCCATGTCTGGTGTACTTGACAGAGACGCGGCCCCCGAAGCCGACACGGCCACATCGCTCATAGAGCGCTGCTTTGCAAAGCCAGGACTCGAGGAGTTGCGCGTCGCCTTGTCAGCACTCAAGTGGCCAACGTCGATGGAAGCGGCCGTGGCGGATGGGCGGCCTTCGGTTTTGAAATCCAGGTTGAATTTGCTGTTGCGCAAGTCGCCAATCGATGGGAGGTCGTCGGCGTCCGCAACCTCTACTACTTTCTTGTCCGTGTCATGGTGACGTTGTGGCTCGATCGGACTTGCAAGGGGGAGAAAGACAGCAACACTGGCGGTAACATCGCTGTTCCGCGGCGTGATCTCCATGGGAACGAAGCGTGGGAGCTGGGTGGCACAACCGAGGTGTTGTATATGTATGCTGCTTGAGGGCCGCTTGCTTGACTTGCTCAAAAATGATCGACGGCCGTTTCACCGGACGTCTAAAGATATCGACCAATCACAACCGTTCATGACGTAGTTGAAGCGTGCGGATTGGTCCATTATGTGCCAGGATACAAGTGTAACGGTTACTGTCTTTGACACTGTTCAGATGTCCAGGCGATGCAACTACCTCTGCGAACATCAATGCGTGTATGTCTTCATGACGAGATATAATTGCTTCTTCCTTCGTCCTACTAGTATGTATCAACGACGAATCTACTTGGGCGGAGCAGAGTTTATTGATGGGAGCTCGACGAACGAACCATACAGCCGCCGTCGTATTCAGTGTCGCTGGTGAGTGTGTCTTACAGTGGTCTTGCTAGCCGTCCGCGTGGAATCCAATGCAGCCTCCTTCCATCAGTCCCCGAGTGAGCCGCATCGCAAGCATGGGCGGCGCTAAGCTGGCATTGACATTTCTCGGAATGCAACTCCAAGAGCTTGTCCATCCCATTCGGTTGTTCTCTGTGTCACCTGCGTGAGTGTGTAGAAAAGCCCGTCTCCACGGTGGAAACTCACACTAAGATCGGCCGTGTCGAATAATCGGTGGCCTTCATGCATGCGGAAGGACAGGGGTTCGACACCACCTTTCAAAGGAGAAGCGTTCTGGAAAGACTATATCGATTCAGGCAATGTCGCTGGTCGTTTGGAGAGTTGAAAGGCCGTAGGGGACGGCACACCGTCGATCGATGCGGTCCACGTACTGAACATTCCACAAGTACGCAAGAATGCAGCAACAAACAAGGTGCTCTAAGTAGAAGCCAGTCAGGCTGCACGCTGATCACGCGGAATTCCAATCCGCCCTGTCGTGGACCGGTTGCTTGACAGTGTCCGTAAGTTCACGTCCAACGGAAAAGCGTCATACCTACTTCACTGCAAACGCATGACGTAGTGTGGGTCCAATCGATGATTCACCTCGGGACTGTGGAGTTGTCTTGCATGGGCAGATTCATGAGGTCGCCCAACAACGTCGTGGTGCACATCACACCGAGCAACATGTGCTAGTGCCGTGATGGTGACTTGTGCATAACGGCACAATGGTCACTGAGTGGAGGCACTCGATGCATGCGACGCTGCCAGTGGTTTCTCCCATGTCACTGTCATGAACATGTACATACGAGAGCTGTGCAAGGAAACGTTCGTGGAGTCCAAGACTTGCATGTTGAGTTGGATGCATTTGGGGAATCTGCTGTTTTGTTACCTTGCTGTGATTGGTCAATTTGTCATCGCATACTGTGTTGCCAAGGATATATCGCAGAAACCTGCGGCACCAGCATCGTGGCCTGTCCTCGCAGAGTAGTCCAACGCCATGGGGAACGAACAGTCCTCGTCCGCACGCCAGCAGCATACGCTCATACATCGAACTAGCTCCAGTGGAAGCTCAGGCGACAAGAGACTGCGATCGCCGGACCATTATGCAGGCCTCCCATTCGTCGTGTGGAACGGACAGCATCACTTTGCCGAGCCTTCCAGTTACAAGTACAACAGCAGAGGGTCTCAGGTGCGCGCATGATTCTAGCTTATCCTATCCTTCACGTGACGATATGGTGTATGTGTGTGTGGCGGTGTAGGTCCAAGGGCACGTCGTGTTTGTCGACCCGATCCGGGCAGACAATGAACTCCGCAACGCCGATGCCTTGGCCGGCAACATTGCCGTCGTCGAGCGCGGGGGAAGGGTGCACTTTCCAGACATCATTCGCCGACTGATAAAAGCGGGCGTCACGGGATGCATCTTCATCGAGCGGGAAGCATACTTTGGGCCCAAGATGTTGTTTGAGGGCTTCCACTCGTCAGGGCGGCAGTCCGTGGACATCCCCATCGTCCGGCTGTCGAAACACCACGCCGACCAATTCATGGCCAAGAAGCCGTCCAAGGTCGTCATCGAGTTCCTCCGCGGCCCAGCGGCGCTCGAGCGCTTGGAGGCCGACGACATCCCGTTCGGCATTTCCACGGCGTCGCGGCTCGGCGAAACCGCCATCCTGCGCTCGTTGCTCTTGTCTGCGCAAGCCAAATTGTCGATCAAGGTACTACTGTATATATATATACGTATATCTGCACAAATATATCATGCCGATATATATATTTCATCTTATTCGTTTTGCAATGACCGGTCATCTGGTGTACACATTTAGGAGATTCCGCTGTCGCATGCGCTGTGCGATGCGGCTGAGAACGGCCACGTGGACTGTATTGAAGTGCTGCACACGGGTGGTGTGTCGTTGAACGAGCACAAGGTTGGTACTAGTACACAATTTGCATGAACTGCTATTATTCATATATATACATATAATACTTTGTTGACGATATTATGAATAGCCCAATGGCACAACGCCGCTGATGGTGGCGTGTTCCGTCGACAACATTGAAGTGGCCCGAGCGTTGGTCATGTTTGGAGCCAACATTGACGCAGAAGACGTACGGGATATATATCTATATAAATATATAAATATATTGTGTGTATATGATGATTATATATATCCTTATATAGGGTGTATATCATGATTATGTATATATATGTATAGCTTGATTATATATATATATATATATACGGGTAGGTGCATGACCACACGGCGCTGATGATTGCGGCGCGAGATGGGTCGGACGCGTGCTTGAAGTACTTGATTCGAAAGGGAGGCGGGATCAACTTGTCGCGCAATCGGGTACAAACGTCGCCGTGTTTGGGGGTGTTGTTGATGGGATTGCCGTAGAAACGAGGCACGACGGCCTTGCACAACGCCGCTCGCAGCGGCCACGGCGACTGTCTGGCCACGTTGATCGACGCCAAAGCCGACTTGGACGTCCCGAGCGTAAGCCCGTTCCTGTGCTTTGGTTTGGTTGACATGTATATCTCGTGGTAGGCCAACTCGACCACGGCGCTGATGGAAGCGGCCCGCGCTGGGAAATTGGGCGCCGTCAAGCAACTCGCCGACGCAGGAGCGAGCTTGACAGCAAAAGATGTACAGATTCATGCGACGAGCTACATACACTGATGTTGGCTTTTGATATCCGTAGCGAGATGGAAACACGGCGGAATCGATTGCCGCGCGCGCTGGACACCAGACAATCGAAGACTACTTGCACGAACGCGCGGAAAATGTGACGATTTCCTCAAACATGCCTGCCTGTCTGTATGACGACATTGCGAGTAGGAATCGGTCAAGGACCAGCGACGCCACATCGAAGAAGCGGTGGGCACGCCAGGGTTTACCGTGTTGGACCTGATCGGCATGTCCGACACCAAGGACGGCGTTAGCATTGACATCCTCAAGCGCGAAGTGCTGCGGAACCCACGGACGGTGGCGTGGTTGGAGGAGCCGCATGTGATTTTCGACGTCCTGCGGCAGCTCACGGCGGCGCCACCTTGCACGAAAATAGACCCGCTCTATGGCGCGTACAAAGCGCATCACTTTTGCTGCCAAGTCGCGCTCTGGTACGGCGTCCATGTATTTGAAAGAAACGGCCACGTCGACTTGGAAACGTGCGTCGGGTACTTCAAAGTGCTGTTCAACTTTTTGTGTCGCCCGGGCGAGCTGGACCCGGTGCTCGTGATTCTCTTCTGCGACGTGGTCAACTGTTACGTCAACCACCGCGGCCTCGGGCCAGCCATGGTGTACTTCTTGGGCACCGAGAGCGCGCACATTGTGCCGTGGCTGGTGTGCCACATTGGGCTCGACTCGATCCGCGACTCGCTCGTGTGGCTGCTCTACTCGGATTTGTCCAAAGCTGGCCAAGGGTATGTGGCGCAGAGCGGCCTCTTTGGGTGCATGCTGGACCGGCTCTATTCTTGGCAACGCACGCTCAGCTGGGGCGTGGGCACGGCGTACCAGCGCGACTCGGTCGAGAACATTTGCTCGCTGCTCAAGTACATCGTGTTCCCCCCTTCCGTGTGCGACGCGGTAGTGTTTGTGGAAAACCACGACTTGTCGCTGCCCCTCATCACGGCGCGCACGCCCCCCGGCCTGCAAAACGAGCTGCTGCGGACGCTCTTGGCGCATTTGTGCCGCACAGACCACGCGCTCCAAGTGTTTCTGGACTTGGGGTACGCCGAACTAACCAGACAAGTGTGCGCTAGCGCCAAGTTGCCGCTCGAGGAAGGCGGGGCGCTGTCTGTGCTCATGATGCTCATGAGTACGTTGGGCTACCACAAAAAGAAGCGCGACGTCGCCAGCGTCGAGGGGCTGCTCCGCGATGTCCACTGCGACCTCACGACCGTATTGGTGCCCCGCGTGGCGTCGATGGTCGCGCTGTGCAAACAAGTGGTGGCCAAACCAGGCAAGACCGGCAACACGCTGCTGTGCCTCGTCACGTTCCTCAAGCGATGTATCTTTCTCCAGCACGGTGCGCTGAATGCGTCGTTGGCGTCGGCAGGCTGCATGCCGGTGCTCATGTCGAGCTTCGAGTCGAACCCGACCAACAGCATGCTGCACCACGAGGTCACCGACATCATTCGGTTCGTGCTACTGGACCCCGACCAAAAGCGGCTGCCGTCGTGTCCGCTGCTCAACAGTCTGTTTGTCTCGTCCACGAGTTTGCTGCTGTTTGTGATGAAGTCATATCACGCCCGGGTGCAGTACAAGGGTCACATGACCACGATTGCCAACAGCATCTTTACCTTGATCAAGTACGTATATCTCAATCATATCCCCCAAACATGTGTTGACAGTGGCGGATGTTGTAGCACGCCGAGCTACAAGGACAAGTCCGCCATCACGTGCCAGGAACTGGTGCGGCAGTACACGCTCGGGACCCCCGAGTGGGCCGAGTTTGAAACGGTGCTGGCCAAGCAGAACGCGGTGGAAATGACGCCGCTGGGCCAGCGCCACGCGCCACTCTGCTCTGGCTGCATCAGCTTGAAGGAGAGCTCGTCCAAGTACGTGACGAGCACGCTCGGCCACGTCGAGCGCATGAGCGGGTACCTCGAGACCATCTTTTCTGGGGCGGCGACATTCCACTGCAAAGTGAACGTCACGGACGACAGCATCTCGGGGTTTATGTACAAGAAGGACAAGATTCACGACCATATTCCCGTGCCAGAGCCCACGCGCGTGTCGTCGTTCATCCAGTTCCCTGTGCCCATGCCCTTTCACGCGCTCACGTTCACGCTCACGTACGTGGGACTGTGTCGCAAATGCGACAAGTTGTGGTACTGCGACACGTTGCACAGCGGCACGGCCAACTGGACCACGCGCATGAAGTGGGTGATCCCGACGTCGGTCCGGAAATGGTACTCGTTTGGGGCGTCGGCGGGGCCCGGGGGAGGAGCCCACGGCATCCAGTTCACGACCAAGGGGTACAAGAACTTTCTCGTGATGACCGACACGTGGGGCCGGCAGGAGCAGTGGATCCATGCGATCGAGGACGCCATCGAGGCGTCGTTGACCAACATCCACGTGTCGAGTGCGAATGCGCTGGCGATTGAGATCGACAACGACGCGGACAACAGCACGATCGACGCCATGAAGAAGAACGAGACGGGCACCGACGTTGGCGAAATGCGGAAACGTGCGCAAACCGTGGGGACGACTGGCCTTACCAAAGAGCTGGATCTAAAGATGTTCCAGAAGAGCATCACGTTCGACGTCAAGACGAAACCCATGCTCGGGATGATCAACCGTCTGCCGCCGCGGTTCCAAACCGATCCGAACGAAGCCGCCGGGCCAATGGATACCAAGGGCAGCATCCGGCACGTCGCGTCCCTGCCAAATTTGGCGGCATATGAAAAGCAATTAAAAAAGCAGCACTAGATAGCGTATGATTTTTGTAGTCCAGTGACATTCGAACTTGTTGGATAATGATACTGTACCTACACTACTTGTGGTTTCTCTGTGGTTACTTGTGAGTTTGGTCGACGAACTATGTACAGTGGACGTGGCTTATATTTTTGTCAAGAAGACCCCCCCCATGCTTCACGTTCAATCGTGTGTACGTGTATATAACCATTCGTGCCAAAAATAGACTAAACCATACAACGAAAAGCACTCTGCCCATTGCCATCGAGACGGCAAGTGGGCGATGCAGCCCAGCGGCGACAGCCGAGCGCTTCCTCCAGAAAGTCGTGCTACCGCCAGGCCCTTCGAGACATTGCCCAATTTGAACGTGGACCCCTTGGCGGACATTGAGGCTGGCATCTCACGCGATGTCCACCAAGTCGAAGAGGTCGTGAAGAAACACAGTCGCGTCGTAACCTCGCGGAGAATCTCCCGCAAGGTCACCCGAGACTCGATCAAGGTGATCGCGCGTCAGATGGGGTCACTCAGTCGGTTCAAAATCAAACGGCTTTCGATGGTCTCGACCACGGATCTCAAAATGGACACCCTCACCCCGCACGACATAATGATTACATACGGATTGTTCAACCTGGTGTTGATCGCTGGGGCGCTGATGAGCATTGGCTCGGTCGTGTGGTGGTCCAGTTCGAGGTTTTCTGTGACAGCGTCCCCAGACATGGACATCGAAGTAGCCCACTACCTTATTCAAGCGTTCACAAGTGCCGTGTGCGGAGTCTTTACCCGCAGGATGTACAAGTTGCCCACGGGGGAGCGACAGCCAGTGCAGTCGACGATGGCGCTGATTGCAGTGGTGTATGGGCTTGTTTCGTTAGGAGAAGTCGTATTTGGCATTGGCTTTTCCGGCGCCTACGGCTCCTGGGCGACGCGCCGTCATTGCTGGTACGACGGCCACGGACGGGCGGTGAATGTGGCCGTGCGGAACGTCCTCAATGCCATCCAAGCGGTGCTGCTATACGCCGTCCTCAACTTGCTCTGCCGATGCTTCAAGACACCCACTACCTCCAACGTGTCTACCGAAGTGGAATTTGCAGTCTGGCCCTACGCGTGCTACGTCGTGCTGCGAGTGGTGCTGGGCTGCACGTTTGGGTTTGTGTTGGACTACCTCCCCATGACCAACCTCGTCACAGTCGCGCGGCTGTACATCCACTCGTCCGTGGAGGTGGCCCCCGGTATCCTCATCACATGCGTTGTGATAACTGCCATCGACGGCGCGTTCTCGGCGTGGGCATTCCTTGAAATATCCCAAGTGCGGCGGTCATTTCGGCTCTGTTTTGTGAAAAACATTTCCAAGTTCATAGTCGCGTTCAACTTTTTCATGAATTACAACGTCAACATGGTGTTTGCGCTTGTGGTGTGTGGCCACGGCGTGTCGTGGCTCGTTCCCACCGAGTACTATGTGACCAGCTCCAATGGCATTCAGTGCACGGGCGCGACGGCCGCCATCGTTGGCTTCCGGCTCACCATCGTGGCATGGCTGCTCATCTCCATGTACGTAATGACGTTATCTTGTTGTCCAGCTTCCACGCCTAATGCATATATGTAGGTATGCGTGCCTACCCGCCGACGCCATGGGGCTGCGGGGGTGGATCCATTCGTCCCCGGGGGGGCTCGATGTCAAGACCAACCGCGTCCGGTACTTTGTACACCCGTCGGATGTGTTTCAGACGGCGAATTTCAACATTTCCGACCTGCTCAAGCACTCGTCGTCGTCGGCGTCGTCTGTGGCAACGATCGATCCGCGGCATTTCGTCCTGGAAGGGCAGATTGAAATGTTCAACTTTGCCTACTTGGCGTACGCGTGCGGCCACAAGGACTACTCGCAAGAGTTTATGCACTTGGACAACATGATTGGCGACAAGCGGTTTGGCCTGGTGGATCACATCCACGAGCCCCACAACGACACGCACTGCTTGATTGTGCAGTCGCCCGACAAGATCGTTGTGGCATTTCGGGGCACGACGAGCTGGAAGAACTTTCGGACTGACTTCAACGCCGCCCGCCGAGAATACAAGGTCAGCTTTGACCACATTGTGGACACTGTTGAGCCCGAGTACCGTCCTCAGAATGTGTCGCGCGTGAATTGCTGCAAGCGCAAGTACCCGTGGGTACACGAAGGCTTTTGGGTGGCATATCAAACTGTGGCGGGGCGGGTGCTCGCAGCGATCGAATGTTTGCACAGCCAGAGCCCGCGCCCGGTGTACGTCACGGGGCACAGCCTCGGGGGGGCGCTCGCCATCCTGTGCAGTTTGGACGTGGCGCTAAAGTGGGGCTCCCACCATGTGACGTGCACGACCTTTGGCTGCCCCCGCGTCGGCGGCAACGCGTTCAAGAAACTGTACAACGCCCACGTACCCGCCACGTTTCGCTTTGTCAACAGCCGCGACCCCATCTGCCACTCCCCCGTAAGCCCCCATATCATCCTCTGTCGCATGAAATACTCCAACGACAGATGTGATGCTGTAGATCCGGACGCTTTGGGACTCGTTCACGGAGGTCGGGACCACTGTGCTGCTCAATGACTTTGGCAACATGATCATCAACCCCAACATGCTCGAATACAGCATGCTCAACCGTGGGGTGTCGATGGAAGCGCACAAGTTGACGTTTTACCAGCTGTCGCTGCTGCTGTGGTGCACTCGCGCGCACGGGCGAACGTTCGAGCCGCAGTTCTGGCCCCACTCGCTCCAGCAGCTGCGGTGGTTGTGCGGTCACATCCCCGAAGTGCTGCAGTATTTAAGTCGCAGCTCATTGCTCGGGGGCGGGCACCCCATCTCCGAAGACGTCCGCCTCCTGTCTATCTTGCGCCACGTCCACAAGAACGTCCAGCCCACGTCGACCCGACTTGGGATATTCAAGCGAGAGGTGGCGTGCTTGTCGTGCAAAAGCATGATCGAGTCACTCGTCGAGAATGCAATTGTGCCGACAGAAGCCGAGGCAGTGGAAGTGGGGCGCATTTTGCTGGCCAAGGGCCACATCAACATGGTCGGCGGCATCGTGTTCAATAAGCACGGCCACTTTGTCCTGATCCAAGACTCAAAACCCCGACGCGCGAGCGTTCAGCACGACGAAGACATTAAGTAAACATGGGCTGGTTTGAAGTTGTTTGGGAAAAGGAACTACCAGTAGCGCCTCGTCCATATAGCATAACGTTGGGTGACTTTGTGTATGCTAGCACCCCGCCAAATAACTTTTCGCCTCCAAGTAAACAGAAACGAGTGTTGTTGTGGATATCCATGCATGTATGTGTATACGAAATATATATTACTATATTTATGGTAGTATATATATATATACACTTAGGAAAACAGCGACGTCCACATGGATGGCTTGACCCAGTTGTAATCGTTGCGATCGATCGTCTACACATCCACAGACCAAATCAATTCTTGACAACTGCATCATCGCATAAAATAGTGGGACACGATCCCCATCATGTAGTATGTAAACTGGACAATACCTCTCGAATTTGCACGCACAGCTTCGCAAACAAGTCTCGGTGCGAGTCGGAGAGGGCGCCGACGGTGATCTCTTGACCTGGCTGGCGTGCATTTTCCTTTTGAATGTTGTCCAGGGCATGGTTCACATCCACGAGCGATTCGTAGTACTTTAACTGCGTGTACAGCGCGCTGTCCGAGTACTCCATGCACACTGTTCCGCGGCACCCCGTAACCGAACACGCGTCCCCCCGCCGCCCACGAAGCGACTGTTTCTGCGTGCGGGAGCTGCACAGCCCCTCGGTGCACACGACCCATCCTTGGTAGTACCGTCGTGTGCAGTCTCGAATGGCCAGATGCATCCGATTCGACACCAACGACGCGAAATCATCGCCCACTTGGCCGTACAGACCGCGCTGGTCGTAGCCCCAGAAGATGGCACTGCAAGCTGCGTTCGGACAGAGCAGCCCCGACGAATACCGCGACGCCCGGGATGCATACACCCCCTCAAACGCGTTTTCTTGGCCGCACTTGAGGCACGTTAATCGAACTAGAGCGAGAACAAACAAGAGATTTTATCAGCTAGAGACAATGAGATCCATCAGTCAGTCGTACGTGGCGTGCACGACTTGAATCGGTCCGAGTCGTGCTGGAGGACGCTCGGGATCACGTCGACTTCGTCGTCGCCCACGTTTTGCACCGAGTGAGAAAACTTGGACGTGTCCAACCCCAAACATTGTGCGAGCTGGGGACTGGACGTGCCGTCGATGTGCGCGCACAGGCGGTTCACGGGCGGATGGATCTACATGTTAAGACATACATTTATTAATATTGTCAATAAAATGGATATAGTTAGTGTTCCATCGCCATGCAAATAGCAGTCTCTTGAGATCACAAACCTGAGCTTCCAAGTACCATTCGATGTCAATGTTGAGCTTTCCGTGCGATCGCGTGACTTCGTCCGGGTGGTACGCCCGGCGGAGGCTCCCCGCTTCCTCTTCTTTGCAAAGCACGTACGGAATGTGTGTCCCCACGCCGATGGCTTTTCCTTGGCTTCGCAGCGCCAACGCCACTTGAACGTGGTACTAATATACAGCATATTCGTTAATATGCATCGAGGTATTGCACATATTTCGTTCAAAAATATCACATGTATCGATAGAACTGTAGCACCTATATACATGTGTAAGTAATATATATACACATATATAGAAAGCCAACATATATATATATACATGCGAAATAATATACAAATATGCGTATTAGCAAGTATACATGTAAGCTAGAATGCATTTCAAATAAATAATGTATACATATATAACTAAATACATATACATGTGTATATAAAAATAAATACATATACACGTATATATATGAATAAATACATGTTTGTACATATCATATATAGGTAGGTAGGTATATATATATATACTTGTTTGGCTTTGTCAGGGTACTGTTCCGGCGCCTTGTTCAAGCTCTTGGTGATAACATATTGACTGATTGGCTCCTTGCCAGTGCGCATGTTTTCGCCGACAGTTTGCAAGTGTTCGTGGATCTTCTCCACGACTTCGTCTCGTCCGATGCCCGACAAGATCAAGTCCAGCACGACGTTCCCCACGACCTTGGACAGCACGCACCAGTCTCGCCGCACCATGTCCAGTCCTTTGACTTCCTTTTCGTACGTCTACACCAAATATATATATATATCAACAATCAGATGCAAAACATAGTATTCATCACTGTACCACAACTCCATCATTGGTCTCTTTGACCACGAGCGACGCGTATTTCTTCTTGTTGAGCAGCAAGATGGTCTTGAAGATGTAGTCGACTTCGAGCTCGAGCAGTTTGAAGTGTTTGTTGCATTGGATTTGAATCTCGCGGCCGATACGTTTGGCATGTTCGAGCTGGTCGCTTCGAGAGTCCACCATGATCGAGTCCGTGTCGCCGTAAATGACATCGTACCCGCACTCTTGTTCCGCCACCTCTTGAGCTCGCTGGAGGGTTTGCCGACCCGTGGACGTGATGAGGGCGGCAATTGGTCGGGCGTAGAACCGCGAGTACCGGAACCCGAGGCACCCGTACATGGAGTTGGCCGTGAGCTTGATGGCTTTTTGCCGAATGTCGAGTGTTTGGCTTTTCTCGATATTGCCTGCCTTGAGTTCTGCCTTGAGCTGTTGCTTGACGAGTTTGCGCGACTCGAGCAGCCGCTTGATCACTTGGGGCAGGACCCCCTCGGCACACGACGAGCTCGGGAGCGCCGGCACGTCGCTCTCTGCCTTGACCAGCACCTCATCGACATCTTCGTCGTCGTCGTCGTCGTCCAAGTTGGTTTTCCGACGGGCTGGACCCGCGTCCTTGGTGGCATTCAACGTACTTCGTTCCACGGTCGTAAAGCAAATGTTGTATTCGCGGATGATGGACGGGTACAAACTGTTAAAATCCAACAGCACAACAAAGTTGTCATATAGACCCTTCTTGGGTGCAAACACCATGCCGCCAGCGTACCCCGCGGGCTCGCGCTTCTTTTTGCCCACAGACTTGGACGATTGTTTGGAGTCCCGGAACTTTTCAGGCACGATAAACTTGTGTTTCGATCGGTCAAATTCGTGCAAAAGCAAATACTCGATACGTTCGGCGCGCTTGTTGGCTTGCAGCGTGCGTGTCCAGAGGTACCCGCACAAGTTGGCCAGTTGCTTGGTCAATGGGATCACCTCCAGCTTGTGCATCAAGTGCAGCACAAACATGGCGTCGTCCAGCGTGTGGTGGATGAACTTGACAAAGTTATCGGGCCCGGACGACAAGATGGCCGGAATGTCGGTGGATTCCACTTCCACTCGCGTCTTTTGAAGCTGCGTCGACACGAGATGGGACAGCGAGTACGTCGACTGCGACGTCAATAGCTCCTTGGCAGACACAAATGTATCGCAAAACAGCCGGCCGTTCGACATGTCGTCCAATCGGTACTCGTTCCAGCCCTCGCCTTGATTGAGGGGTGCCAGCAGCCCCCGCCGCAGCCGCGTGAGCCGCGACCACATGCCGCCCATCTTGAAGTTGTCCATGCGAGACATGAGCACGTCCAGGGTGTACCCCTGCAGGTTGTGGCCGACGATCACGTCCGGATCTTCACGCTGAACCCGCGCCAAGAGAAAGTTGAGCAGCGCCTTTTCGTTCATTTCAATGCTCAGGGACTGCGGCGCCCGGAACCGATCGTTGGCTAGCGCGTTCGGGCCATACGACTCGGGGAACCGCTGGTGGCCGTCCGCCAGGAAGGGCCGGATGCCCGAGAAGTGGGAGATCTTGCCCTTGCCCTTGCTCCCGCCTTCGGGGTTGATGTTGGTCTCCGTCACGGCCGAGAACGCCACCACTTCGTGCTTGTGCGAGTGCGGGTTGCAGCACGTTTTGATGCTCAAGCTGAGCACAGTCAGCGGCGGCGACGGGATGCCATGGATAGGCACGACGTGGACGGGGCTGGCTGTTTCGTACTCGACTTTGCAGTAGCTTTGGTGGTTGGTTGTCACACGCTGGGCGCCCGAGATGCGCAACCAGCCTGGCCCCAGCAGCTTGCGCCGGATGAGAAACGTCTCCAATGGCCGGACGGACGCGCCGCAGATGCGCACGAACGACGGACCCCCCTTGGCGCACACGTCGGCATGCGGGGCAGCATACCGCGCGGGGTACTTGACCTTCAAGTACGTGTTCTTACCCCGAGGCAGGTCAGGCAAGTCGAATGCATAGCTATCCACAGAATCACTCTTAGAAACACAGTGGACATGTAAATAAGCACGTACTTGCGGTCGACAAGCTTGGTTCGGAATGTCTGCTGGTCTTTGCGGTCGGTGATGCACGACGGGATGAGCAGGGAGCTGATGTCCTTGTGCATATTCATCCACAGCTGTTGCTGGATGTCCTTGGGCATGTCTCCCATGGTGCTGTACGTGTCCTTGTGTTGGTCTGGAACGCGCGGCACAACGTACAAGTATCGCTGCAAGTTGTTGACAATCACACAGCAACTTTTAAACCCTCCTCCTTGCGCGTCCTTGGTCTACATACATACATACCGTCAATATATATATATATCCCCATCATCATGAATATATATATATCGACTACTGGTGGGGTTTTGTCGAGATTGTCATATATATATATATATACCTTGCCGATCAAGTACAATTTCCCAGGTCGATCGCGCACTTCGACGGCATCGGTCCAAAACAGTTGCAGGTCGTCGTTCAAAGCAGGAGCTTCCCCGTCGGCGGCTGTGGATGTGTCGATGGTGTCGACCTCCGCGTCGTTGGTCGGGTTCCACCACTCGCCCACTTGATTCGACGGAACAGAGTCCACGACATCATCCACGGGTTTCTCGCCCACAAACGGGACAGAGCTGGAGTTCAACGCGCGTTCTGTGGCTGCGGAGGCCTCGACGCGACTTTCTCTCGCCTACAACATGCACAAACCACATGTCAGTACATATATCCCTCCATGTTTGTCGGATATATGTACCTTTTTGAGCAGCAGGTCGCGCTTGCTGACATAAGGTTGCGCTACCGCCGCCACGTCCTGGGTCGGTGGTGCAGCTAGTGGTGACGAAACGTTTCCATCATTCGATGGGTCGACTGGGGCCACGGCGGCATCGTCGTCGAATTCGTAGCCATTGTCGACGCCGTCCTGTACGTCGTCCGTGTCGTCGCGTTCGGTCGTGGTGGTAGCACTGGGGCGGTATTCCTGCATGAATTGGCGATCAGAAGACGAAACATGTTGCGATGAAGTGGCGCTTCGACTGGAAGGAAACACGGGCGGCTTTCGTGCGCGAGATAGCGATGCGTCGAGGGGGTTGCTGGTCAAGTCGTCCAACATGCTATCCAGGTCGATATCTAAAAAATGAAAAAGACACGTCAGAAAGTACAGGTAGAGTTCGTCAGGTGTATGATATGGCGTGCCTTGTTTCGCATGTCGAGAGGATGCGGCAGCAGCGGGGGCACTTCTCGGCTTTTCGCTGGACTTAGAGAAAAACATGTGCGTGATCTTCTGGTCGGTGCCCGTGCCAAGCTTGGCGCGTTGGTTGCGCTTGGCTCGCTTCACATACGCACTGGACAATGCCCCGGAGCTCTGTCGCTTCTTGTTGTTCGGGTCCACGTCGTCGTCGGGGTCCACGACCTCTTCGTCCAAATCGCCGTCGTCTTCGAAGTACTGCTCTTCGCCGTCGTCGTAATACCCCATCCCGCCTTCGTCATCCTCGACAAAAGGCAGTTCCTCGCGACGTTTTCGAACCAAATCGTTGTACTCGTCTTCGTTCAGTTCTTGGTAGATGCTACCCTCCTTGGCATTGTACGTCTCAATGCGACTAACCTTCTTGACGCCCGCGCCATCGTCGTCTTCGTCTCTTCCATTCAGTTTGGCCTCCCGGAGACGCCGAATCTCATTGAGCGCATCACTTCTACCGCCGCTTCCACTTGCTCTGCTTGATCGACGCGACATCGTTGAAGGATCTGCCTCGACCTGTGGCGCGTTTTTGGGTTTTCCCAGTATATTTCCGCGCAAACAAAAAACCATTCCCGCCACACTGCACCCTGCAGCAATTAATACACGTCGAAACTTAAAACGCTAGGTTGAAATCGTTAAACATAGTTGAGGCCACAAGCATTTGCAATGGCTTGTCAATAATTGGTAGAAATAGAATGAATTTATAGAGTTTAACGTGTTAAAGCCACCATGTGCAAGTAGTGACCATTTCAGTTCGAAACTATCGTGTGGAGGGAAACATGGCTGGTCGTGGACGCGGAAAGGATGCGACGTTGCCAGCGTGGATGACGAACCCAGCATCGAGTGTTGCCCAAGGCGCCGCCCTGCCGCCTTCGAGACCGTCTCCTCAACGCGCCGCCCTCCCACCACAGGCTCCACCTTCTCGAGGCCAATTCGAAGATGCCGACACCAGCCGCCAAAGCCACCGTGGTGGCCGGGATGATGGACACTCTCGAAGCGACCGTGGAGATAGCGCTCGCCACGAAGACAGTCGAAGAGGAGATGTGGAGAGAAGTACACGTACTTCCAGCCGGGACGCTGTGGACGACAGCCGACGTGATAGGCGAAGCGCAGATCGATCCTCCCGCAGCGACTATCGCCAACCACACGAGTCTAGCTCCCACGGATATCGCGAGCATCCGAAACGTAGCAGTGAAAGATCCGAACGCCGCCGTGACGACTACTCCGATTCACGTCACAGAGATGCCGGCTATGGTCGCACGGATTCCTCCCGCTCCGACCGCCGCAGCCACGACGGGTACAGGCGCCCTGACTCGTATTCGTCGAGCAGTCATCGCGACAGCGGGTACAATCGGGACGCAGGGTACGGTCGTAGCTCCGATGCACGCAGCAGCAGAGACTTTGACCGAGACTCTGGCTATGGCCGCACAGAATCGTCGCGCGGAGGGTCTGATCGGCGGGATGACGGGTATGGCCGCACAGAATCCTCGCGTGGGTCGGACCGCCGGGACGACGGATATGGTCGCAGCAGTCGCCGCGACGACGACAAGCAGCCGTCTTCCAACGGTCGCCGTAGTCGGTCGCGATCTCGGGAACGACGAGGGTATTAGAGTCGTGTCCTTCGTCGCCTGCCAAGCAAAATATATACCAAATAATTGCTGAAAAAATGTTTTTTTAAAATCTATTTCAAGTTATTACTGTCCGATGAGTTGGGTCAGCGCTTCAAAAAAGTCAGGCGCAGGCTCGTGGGCACAGAACACTTGGCGCTGGTAAAAGTCTGGCAACGTTGAGATCTTCTCGTGCAGCTCCCCGAGGCGCTCTTGTAGCGCGGCTCGTTCCTCTGTCACAATGCGGATCGCCTAGCCATTGATACCATGTATCGCATGTCAATAATCAAAGGATCCACCATCATATACCTTGTCCACGTCGACGAGCTTGACCACGTCCACACACAGATTGGTCAACACATTCTCCACTTGCATGTGCACACTGACGTCGCCCAGTTGTTGCTCCAACCGCTCGCATCGAAGCGTCAGCCGCTCCTTCTCGTCAGCATGCAATGCATGGCTGGTTTCCATAATGTGCAATTGCTCGAGCGAGTTTTCATGCACTTCCAGGAGACTCTTGATCTTGACGGAGAGCAGATCGCGCTCCTTGGCGACCAACGCCGCTGACCGCGCCGAGTCATCCAATTCATCGCGGCATGCCTTGACCGATCGTTGCGCGGCGTGGAGCTCCGCCGCTTGTTTGGCCAAGTTGGCAATGGCACCTTCCCGCTCGTTCTTCCTTTCAGCGCGTTCGTGATGGAGGTCCGACGTGAGTTGGTCCTGGGTGGCCTGCCGCGCCGCCACAGCTAACCAACCGTACATCATCATGTTTGCAAGCATATGTAGGTCGGATGAGGTTGATGGTACCTTCATCAAGGGCTTGGTTCACATGCTCCAACTGCGCGGTGAGCTTGACGTTATCGAGGACGACCGCCGCGTGCTGGGCTTTGACAGCGTCCAAGTCGTCGCCAGTGGCCAAGCGTTTGGCTTCTGAGGCGACCAGTTGATCGTGCAAGTCTTCGGCCGCTTGTTTCAAAGCGACTACTTGTTGGGTGGCACGGTCCAGCTTTTCTTCCACCGTCGACACGACGCCCACCAAACGAGTCCCTTCCAGTTGCAACTGGTGGACCTCGAGCTCTAGCCGTCGCCGCACCTCCTCGCCTTGCTACATGCAATCCATCCATCCATCCATACGATCACTCCGAAAAAAGACATGCATACATCATCACGTGTAGACGTACTCGGATCGTGTCGTCGGCCGCTTTCGTCGCCTGCTCCAGCACACTCTGGTGATGCCGACTCAGGCGTCCAATGAATTGGTCCAAGATCGTCGGCAGGTCCGTCTTGACAAACTGCACGAGCACTTTGGCCTTGGATGGACCGTCGCCAGCTTCGTCGTACCCGTGAAAGAACGGAGTTAATCCACGCCCAAGCGCGCGTCCATCGCTTGGGATGTCGTCCCACTCCCCCGACTCAATCGGGGATTGAAGCCATTGCTGGGCCAGCCGTTCTACCACGTCGGTGCACAGCAGCGTCGATTTTTCCTGCAGCGCGTTGATCTGAAGCGCTCGGGTCTGCGCTATGGCCGCCTTGAGCTTCTGAAAGCACCGCTTCCTGGCGTCGCCCTCCACCGACTCGCTTTTAAACACGACTAGCGCGCGGTCCTGCGCTTCCCTGTGTACGCGCTCAAACTCGACCTGTGCCATGGATGTATTCGACTCCATTGCCGTCTTGTACGTGTCCAGCGCGCGGACGAACGCGGCTTCGCAGGTCACGTCGCTCACGTACTCCCACGCCGCCTTGATGTCGGGCACGGCGCCGCTGTTCATGGTCGCGACGTAGCTCTGGACGAGATGCGCCAGCTTGGGGCCGTCCACGACTTGGTTGAGCACGCGTTTGGGGCGGGCGACGTCCAGGAGTCGGTCGCGGATCGCGCGCATCTGCACGATGAATTCCGGACGCAAGTCGGCGTCCGGGAGGGTACTGGCGTTCCGGAGCTTGTCTTCGTCTGTGACGGGGCGGATCAGCGTCACACTACGAAGGCAGGTAGGTGATGAGTGAGGACGTGGATGATAATGATGGTAATGGCGGCGGTGTTACCATTCTCGCTGCGTGAAGAGCGTGCGCAAGCTGTGGCGAATGCGGTTCCGCTCTTCGTTGCGCTTGGACGTGCCGTCCCGCCGCTGCAGAGACCGCTCCAAGTACACGTTGGACGTGAGCGGCAGACCGTTTTCCTGGATGTCGAGCAAAAAGTCCCGGAGCAGCCACACGAACGGGGGAAAGTGCGGCGCCAGCGCACTTTCGTGAACCGAATGCTGCACATCGTCGTCCTCATCGTCGTCGTCGTCAGATTTGGGGACGTGGTTGTCGGCGGCGCCGCCATGTTGATGGACGCACACGTGCTTGGTCAGTTCGGACACGAGGAAAAGTCTGAAGTTGAACAATCATGTGCTGGTGTGAAACTGAGGAGGACGAAGATGGGAGGATAGACAGACCGACCTGTCGATCGCGCCTTCGTCGATGACACCCATGGTGTTGAACACAAACACGGAGCAGAGAAGCAGGCCGAGGGAGAAGATCTTGGCGTCGTACGTTTCGTCGTTGTCCGTGGACGCGATGCCTTCTGTGTCCATGAGCAACACCTTCTCCCCGCGTGCGTTGCGCTGGTCGGCGTCCCAGATCCAAATGCCCCGCGTGCAAGACTCGGTCGTAGGTCCGACGACAAACCCGGCGTTGGTCGACGGGACAGATGACACGTCTCCCTTGCGACACATTTGGTTCAAGAAGAAACTCTTACCCGTTCTACGACGATGCAATCACGACACACGACGTCAAGGAAGGGATGACGACGGACCTGTATTGCCCAGCGAGGCAAATCACGGCCACGGGTTCATTCTTGAGCGACTGCAGGAGTCTAACACAAGTTCATAGAGTGTTGTCGTCGACATGGGAATGCGTACGCTATGCCATCTGGACACGTCTCGAGGGCATCGTCCGCTTGCCGAATCAAGCAAACCGGGGGCATCTTCGGTGTCGACGTCGACGATATATTCTGACCGAAACTCATGATGGACTATAATTGGTCATTTTAGCTACCCATAAAAAAGGTCACAGTTTCAAATCGATCCGCTGCACATTGACCATTGACACGATGTGTGCCTTCTTGCACAGGAGGCATCAAGCTGTGCTGTTCTAGCCATGGAGGAGAATCATTTCGCCTCATGATGGGGACCATGATGCAGTTCACGCCATCGAATTCCATTGACGCTCGATGTTGAATCTCCAGGCGTTCAATCCCGCCTTCGCAGGCCTACTGTAATCGACGATGTAACCACTCGAGACACTTGTGATACACACCGTCACGGTAAGCGAATGAACGAAGATGCACATGGACGTACAGTGGGCTTCTGCCACAGACCCATGCGCCCGAAGGCGGCTGCATGTGATGCCATTTTGCGCGAATACGCTGGTTGATGTCGAGTCAACCTGTTGCGTCAACGGAATATCCGGTATTTTATCCGGATATCGTGGGATCTTAGAGGATCTCTTTTGGTCAAACTTGTTTTCTTCCACGAGGTCGCATCGATTTACATGTTGGGACTGCAACTCGCCCGCCGCGCGCGTCATGTCCGCCTTGAGAATGCCGCGACTGCCATTCGCGCTGCGTCCTCGACGTCCAACGGCGGCAAGCCCAAGGCCAAAGTGCAGTCGGCCAAGGACGCTTCGGAAGGGGTGAGCTACACTCGGGGTCTGTTTCTTGGGGTGAACAACGCCAAGTTGGCGTTTCCGTTTCCCAAGCTGTCAACGGACGAGTCCGAAACGCTGCAATCCCTGGTGAACCCCGTGGTGAAGTTTTTTGAAGAAGGGGTGGACGCCAAGCTCATCGACGACACCAAAGTCATCCCAGAAGAAACCCTCGCGAGTCTCAAGGAGATGGGGTTGTTTGGACTGCAAATCCCCGAAGAACTGAATGGCCTTGGGTTGAGCAACACTGGGTACGCGCGTGTGTGCGAAGAGTTATCGGACGCGTCGATCGCCGTCACGATCATGGCGCATCAGTCCATTGGACTCAAGGGCATCTTGCTCAACGGGAACGCTGCGCAACAAGCCAAGTACTTGCCCAAGCTCGCAACGGGGGAGAACCTGGCCGCGTTTGCATTGACGGAACCGAGCAGCGGATCCGACGCCCAGTCGATCAAGACGCGTGCGGTGCTGTCGGAGGACAAGTCGCACTTCATCTTGAACGGCGGCAAGATCTGGATCAGCAACGGCGGATGGGCCGAGGTTATGACCGTGTTCGCGCAGACAGAAGTGGACGGCAAGGACAAGGTCACAGCGTTCATCGTCGAGCGCGCGTTTGGCGGGCTCACGAGCGGGCCGCCCGAGGACAAGCTGGGCATCCGCGGCTCCAACACGTGCCAAGTGTTTTTTGATAATGTCAAGGTCCCTATCATCCATTTTGACATCGGCAATATGACATGTGATGCAGGTGCCAGTGGAAAACGTGCTCGGCGGCGGTGAGGACGGCAAGACGGGGGGGTTGGCAGGCGTCGGCCACGGCTTCAAGGTGGCCATGAACATTTTGAACAACGGGCGGTTCGGGATTGGTGCGGCGTCGGGGGGCCAACTGCGGCGAGTGATTGCCAAGGCAGCCGAGCATGCGACACAGCGCAAGCAGTTTGGGGCGTCCTTGTCCGAGTTTGGCTTGATCAAGGAGAAGATTGGCCACTTGGCACTCAACACGTATGCGATCGAGGTGCGAAATGAAGAGAACGAGGACGAGGATACTAACTAGTAGTACGGCGGTTAGTCGATGGCATACATGACCACGGGTATGATTGACCGCGGCGATCCATTTTGCGAAATCGAAGCGGCCATGTGCAAAGTATTTGGATCGGAAGCGTCCTTTGAAGGCATCAACGAAGCCATTCAAATCATGGGCGGTACGAATGTAATGTGTTTTCTTGTTGTTTTTGCAAGTTTTTTCGTGTGAAATTCATTCTTTTTTTATATATTTTTTGAAAAAACGTCAATATAGGCACGGGCTTTATGCGCGACTGGCCGTTTGAACGATACATGCGGGACGCGCGCATTCTGTCCATCTTTGAAGGCACGAATGAGATTTTGCGCCTGTTGATTGCCCTGAGTGGCATCAAGGTAGGATGGATGGATGGTGATGTTGTGTGGAGCAATCTGCGTTGTTGATGGCGACTCATTGGGAATTGGTAGACGGCTGGCGAGCGGTTGTCTGCCGTGGGCAGTTTGTTCAAGAATCCGTTTAGCGACCCTGCCGCCGTCGCGTCGGAGATCTCGTCGCGCGTGCAGAAGAAGATTTCGGCTCCTGCGACGCTGGAAGGCGTGCACCCCAAGCTCAAGGCGTCGGCCGACTTGCTCCAAACGCGAACAATTGAGTTTGGAGATGCCGTTGAGTCGCTGTTGAGAAAGCACGGCAAGACCATCGTGCACGAGCAACTGCAACTGAAGCGCATTGCCGATGCGTCCATCCAGCTGTTTGCCATGACGGCGACCATTTCCCGGGCATCGACGGCGCTGGCCGACAAGTCGCCCACTGGTATTGTCCTTTTACCCAAAATTTGGACTTTTGTGCTGATTCGCCAAATCTATCGATCGATTCTTTGACTTTTGTATGTAAAGATCGTCCAGTATCACACTAATTTCAGTCACACACTAATTAGGTGTTGATTTGGTCGAAGAGTGAATTTGATTGGCCACTTGATTCGTGTTCTGGATTTTGATTGGTCGTATATCGATTTGGTGATACTGTCATTCGATTGGGTACCCAATTTCGAATCGACTTGACAATAGAACGATGATATTAGAGTCGTTTGTTCATGTTGTGACAATGTACATACAGCGGCGCATGAGTTGGCGCTGACGCAATTGTACGCGGAAATCGCATCGGACAAGATTCGGAACAACCTGCGCGAGATCCAAACCCATACCAAGAAGGACAGCCAGCTCAAAGCCATTGCCGACCAAGTGTTTGCCCAGTCCAAGTACATTCCATCGCACCCCACGGGTGTTAACGCTTAGTCGACTTCTCTTAACACCAAGTAATGAAAGTATCGTCAGTGGTGATCATAAAAGAATTCTAAATAAGAATAGGGTAATAAGCATAGAATTCATTTTGTGGGATGAGAAAGAAATAATTCATTTTCATCGAAGGATACTTTGCTGGAAACCTCGAACAACATATAATTCGTGGTTAACTGTAAACTGACTGTGAAAATCATTCAACGCAGGAGTAGCTACATGCTATTACTATAGTAAACTCCGACACTCTCCGAGGAGGCGCCGATAGTCTAGAGCTCTTCTTTATCTATATCTGGTAACGTCAGAAATAAATACGACTACCGTGTACCGTTGTGGTGTAAATGCTGAAGATTCGGCCCAAATACGTAGATGTATTTGGCCCCAATCTGCCGTGCTTGCATGGTCTTGCATGTTCATGAAGCCAAACCATGACCCCCCCTTGGGTGCTCAACCTGATTTCAAGTGTAGGTACCACCAGCACCCAATACATCAAGCACATCAAGCGCTCCTGTGTCCAAGATCTGGCACAACAGCCGACGTCGCAGTCAAGAAGGGAAGAAGAACCAGTCCAGCCCCATCCCCATACAGTAGTCACCCATGCAGTAGTCATGTAGCACCTCTAACGACATCAAACCATATCGAATTGACTTTTACGAC